CACCACGAATTTGTTGAAAGATTCGCAGCAAAAGCCGGACGTCCCGCCTAATCACTCAATTATAACGATTTAAAAGCAAACGCTTGATGTGTCATAAATGTCTAGGGAGCCATTAATAATAAATTTGGGGTCTGACTAAACCATCAAGGGATCCACTTGAGTTAATTAGCACTAATGTGTGTTTCTGCTATTATACTGAACATGAAAAATTACTTAAAATATTTAAAGAAGAGATTTTTGATATTTGATAGCATTGACTCCAGTATTGTTAAACAACTTATTGTAACAAAAATGAGAAAGCCATTAATTTAGGGTCTGACTCATCTGGATACCCAGGGGCAGTCAGTCTGGTCTAGAGAAAAGGCGCAACAAAAGATTTCAAACACAAGTGGAAAAGCCCCTGGTTACCAGCTCTCACCGGACCATTTCCAAATGGTCAAGCGAATGCTGGCTCCTGAAGGGGTACAAAAAAATGCTTTGTATTATTGTGCCCAATTGGCAAACAGCTTTGCCTGAGTTCTTTTCATGAGTTTGTATACTATATTATACTATATTGCTGTACTATATTGCACTAATGTCCGGTTTGTTCACCAAGGTTGTGTGGTCGGGAAATGTTCATTTTCTTCTTTACTAACCAGAAACAAAGAACTACCAGTGACTTGGGAAAACGTTTGGATGCTATCAGTGATACAAAACATTTTTTGTACCCAGTCAGGAACCGGCATTCTCTTGACTGTTTGGAAATGGTCCGGTGAGAGTCGGTACCTAGGGGCTTTTCCGCCCATGCTTGAAAACTTTCGTCCCGCGTTTTCTCCGGACCAGACTGACTGCCCCTGGGTCTCCGAGGATGGGTCTGTGTAAACCACTAATATGTATTTTTGCTATTTTTTTTAATGGAGCGAAGCTGTGCCATGCTGATCTCTAAAGTGGAGAGTCACGCATCGGATAGGTGTTCATACGATACTGGATAGCTTTTTGCTTTTTGTTTTGGCACGCTAATCTATCTGGTATAGTGTGAATATAGCCTCTCATGATGATGTCAAATGCAAATTGACACATTGTTACAATTCCTGATTACAAGGCAATGTTACGTTACTAATGAGTGCAAGAGGTCAAATTTTCTACATGCAAAGAAAATTGTTTAAGAAAACTAAACAATCCATAAAATGTTAAAAACTCTTCATGCTTTATGAACCCAGGCTCAATTCCCAGCAAAGTGCGGTGTTTTTTTCCTCTGTTTTCTCCTTTCTTTTGTTTGTCTTTTTGTCTTTTTACAGTTGAACCTCCATTAAGCGGCCACCCTCTGGGTACCGGCCAGTTGCCGCTAAATGGAGGTTGGCTGCACAATAGGGGTTAATTATTGTTTTAATTAGCTTAAACTTTATCAGAAACATCACTTTATTTTAAAACAAATACCTGATGGGAGAAGCATTACTGAACCACAATAAAAATTGGTCATCAACTTCTACATTTGTATATATCTCAGACTGTAGTTTCCTTTATCATATTATTCTTGAAATGAAGCCAAACTAAGTGTATTAAATGCTTGATGGCTGCTTAATAGAGGTGACAACAATGGGAGAACTCATTTGGATGGACTTTGATCACTGGCTGCTTGAAAGAAGGTGACCGCTTAATGGAGGTTCAGTTTAAGGCTGATTTAGCAACAGAACAAGAATGTCAGTTGATGACGGTGTGCGCAAATAAAAAAACTGGCTTGACCAATGGCAGAGCGGCAAATTGGGCACCAAGAGTCTTGTTTAGTCCTTTCTGCGTGCTTTCCCTTCGTCAACTGATGTTCCCGTCCTGTTGCTAAATCTGCCTAGTATTGTAATGTCGGGTATTAGAGGACAACAAGGTATGCCCTCTCAACAATAACTGTATATGCCACTGTTGGCCTTTCCCTCTAAGCTTGGTTAGGAATCTGCAAGGCGAATACTAATATTATTAATATTTTTCGTTGTACAAGGTGCTCAAGATAATTATGTCTGTGTGCATGTATGGAAGTTAATTCTGTGGGTTTTCTGTCATTTTTTTTCAGATTTCCGGATGGTACCCCAGCGAGCCTAGGATGCGAATGGCTCTTGTTTATATTCATTGAACCTTGCAATATTACAATCAGACTCATTTATATTCCGCCACGCACTCGCGTCTTGAATAAATATTAGCCATCTTGATTTTGCATGCATTGATCTAGATTGATCTGAACTGAAGTACTTCAGGTGACCTTTTCATTCCTGTCGAGTTGCATTAGCTTTAAACTTACTGATCCCGTAATTTTCTTAAAAACGTGTTCATAGAAAGAAGGCTTTTTACAAACACGATTATTCATTTTTTCTCCTGTTTCGTGCTTTTCGATGTCACTCTGTCACAGCTTGACCAGCAAGCTCTCTTTTTTATTGTCCCCGCGGGAAGTGATGCGCGCGCAAGCTTAAACTGACCAAAAGGATCGCGGCCAGGTTAGAAATTTCGGAGAGTTTAATACTCGAAGAAAATATATATATATATATATATCAAATACAACGTCCTATTCTTAGCCTTGTTTCGCTCTTTCCTGAATGATTTTGAAACTTTTTTCTTTTCTGACACATCAAATCTCCAACGCAGAAACATTGTTGGCAATTACATGACAAGGTTACCATTTATCATAACATCTGCTGACTAATAGTATAACGGGCTCATAACAAGAAAGGCATCAAATTCTCGAAGCAAAAGGGGGTTATTTGTTCCTGGAAAGCTGAAATAATTTATTGGTGTACAGATTTAGTCTTTTTTCAGAACTTCTCCCTGTTGATAAATTTTCTTCGTCATCATTTTTAAAGATCGAAAATGGTTCTAAAAGACCTTTTTTGTCACAGCAGGTAAGGTTTACATACAATAATATATAAAAGTACTGATTATGAAGTTAGGTCATCTTACCTTAGCTTTTAGCAGCTTTAAAACATACCAATTTCCTTGATGGTAGCATTCTTGGTTTTTTAGGGAGTCCACTTTTAGGCTTTGCACCACGAATTTGCTGAAAGATTCGCAGCAAAAGCCGGACATCCCGCCTAATCACTCAATTATATTGATTTAAAAGCAAACGCTTGATGTGTCATAAATGTCTAGGGAGCCATTAATAATAAATTTGGGGTCTGACTAAACCATTAAGGGAACCACTCGAGTTAATTAGCACTAATATGTGTTTTTACTATTATACTGAACATGAAAAATTACTTAAAATTAAAGAAGAGATTTTTGATTTTTGATAGCATTGACTCCAGTATTGTTAAACAGCTTATTGTAACAAAAATGAGAGAGCCATTAATTTAGGGTCTCACCCATCCCGGAGACCCAGGGGCAGTCAGTCTGGTCGGGAGAAAAGGTGCAACGAAAGTTTTCAAACACAAGTGGAAAAGCCCCTGGGTACCAACTCTCACCGGACCATTCCAAACGGTCAAGCGAATGTTGGCTCCTGATTGGGCACAAAAAAATGCTTTGTATTATTGTGCCTAATTGGCGAACAGCATTGCCTGGATTCTTTAATTCTGTGAGTTTGTATAAGACAGCTATTGTCTTGTCATACTATATATTGCACTAATTTCTGGTTTGTTCACCAAGGTTGTGCATGCATGGGAAACTTTCATTTTCTACTTTACTAACCGAAATGAAAGAACTACCAATGACTTGGGAAAACGTTTGGATGCTATCAATAATACAAGACATTTTTTGTACCCAATCAGGAACCAGCATTCTCTTGACTGTTTGGAAATGGTCCGGTGAGAGTCGGTACCCAGGGGCTTTTCTGCCCGTGCTTGAAAACTTTCATCGCGCCTTTTCTCCCAACCTGACTGACTGCCCCTGGGTCCCTGAGGATGGGTCTGTCTAAACCACTAATATATATTTTTGCTAATTTTTTAATGGAGCAAAACTGTGCCATGCCGATCTCTAAAGTGGAGAGTCATGCATTGGACAGGTGTTCATACGATACCGGATAGCTTTTTGTTTTGGCATGCTAATCTATCTGGTATAGTGTGAATATAGCCTGTCATAATGATGTCTGATGCAAATTGACACATTGTTACAATTCCTGATTACAAGGCAATGTTACATTACTAATGAGTGCAAGAGATTAATTTTTCTACATGCAAAGAAAATCGTTTAGCAAAACTAAACAACCCATAAAATGTTAAAAACTCGTCATGCTTTATGAACTCAAGTTCAATTCCCAGCAAAGTGCTGTGTTTTTTTGTCTATTTTCTCCCTTTCTTTTGTTTGTCTTTTTGTCTTTTTACAGTTGAACCTCCATTAAGTGGCCACCCTCTGGGTACTGGCAGTTGCCGCTAAATGGAGGTTGGCTGCAAAATAGGGGTTAATTGTTATAATTAGCTTAAACTTTATCAGAAACATCAGTTTATTTTAAAACAAATGCTTGATGGGAGAAGCATTACTGGTCCACAATAGGTCATCAACTTCTACATTTGTATATATCTTGGACTGTACATGTATGTTCCTTTATCATATTATTTTTGAAATGAAGCCAAACTAAGTGTATTAAACGCTTGATGGCTGCTTATAGATGTGACAACAAGTTATGGGAGAACTCATTTGGATAGACTTTCATAACTGGCTGCTTAATAGAAGGTGACTGCTTAATGCAGGTTTAGTTTAAGGCTTATTTAGCAACAGAACAGGAATGTTAGTTGACCATGGGGCACTCAAATTAAAAAACTGGCCTGAACAATGGCAGAGCGGCAAATTGGGCACCAAGAGTCATGTTTAGTCCTTTCCACATACTTCCCCTTTGTCAAATTTATTTATACTGACATTCCCGTCCTGTTGCTAAATCAGCCTAGTATTGTAATGGTGGGGATTAGAGGACAACAAGGTATGCCCTCTCAACTGTATATGCCACTGTTGGCCTTTCCCCCTAAGCTTGGTTAGGAATCTGCAAGACAAATACTAATATTAATATTTTTTGTTGTATAAGGTGCTCAAGATAATTTTGTCTGTGTGCATGTATGGAAGTTAATTCTGTGGGTTTTCTGTCATTTTTTTTCAGATTTCCAGATGGTGGAGCATTGCTCATGCTTCTGTTTTATATTCCATGTGGTCTGTTGCTTGTGGTATTTAGATTCTTCTTCGGGCTTCAACTTCTTCTTATAATGTCAATTCTACCAAAAGAATCGCTTGTAAGAAGGTAAAGACCAAAGCATAATAACCCTTTCTGCCCTAATAACGGGCAATTAAAGAAAAAGCTTGAAGAAGTAAGTAGTACCAGGCAAAAGTTGTACCAAAGAGGTTCCATTTGAATGGTATTCTTATATCTTTCCATTTAATAATTATGGTGCAGTGGAACCTCGATATAATGAACCTCCATAAGACAAAGTCCTCTGTATAATGGACAATTTTCTTTGCCCCAGTAATAGTAAAATATATGAAAAAGAACCTTGTTATAAGATAACCTTGTTATAGTGAACAAATTTTTGCCAGTCCCAGCCCTTGGCCCTTCATTATACATGTATAATTATTGAGGTTCTACTGTATACTGGGATAAAAGTGTTAAGATATTGACGATTAGTGTGTTATTTTTAACGTGATTTCTGCTAACTTTTTACAAGAAAAACGTTTTTTCGTAGGCTTCTATTTAGGGTTTCCTCTGCCATACTCGGAGTTGCTGTTACTCAAGAAGGATATGAAAATTACATTAAAGGCCAACATAAGGTATCAATGTTGATGTACGGTGTGTCATTGTTATTATCACAATGAAGCTCAGCAATTTTGGGCACTTTTTTGCAGTAATCTTAAATATTTTAGACTGGTGACATTAGCCTGGTGCAGATCCTGACTCGTCCCCAGTCGTCTCTAAGTTGTCTCTACTCATTAATTATTTACTAGGGAAGCGCTTGGGTTATGTGCGCGGGGAGGGTGGGAAGGCTAGAGGAGGGGAGGAGGGAGTCTCTCCCTTCTTCCTTCCCATCATTCCCTTTGTTAAAGAGCCCATTCTAGTCTTCCACGCTGAATACTAATAATGAGAGACAACTGGGGATGAGTCTGGGACAGATCTAGAAAATTCAAAATGAGGCAGTCATAATCCCAACTGGGAAGGCGGGGAACCTGTGTTTGGGACCTACCTCTGTTGAAAAGTCTAGCTGGTTTTCCGGAGATGGAATTTGCTAATAAAAATTTGCAAATTTCAGGGAGCGTTTGCATCCAGAATTGTAAGCTCTACATTATTAATATAGACAGAAAACTCTAATTATATTGGTCTTCACTGGGTCACTACTTTTTATGGTTGCTACTGACAGTCAGTAGTAAATGATAGGACAAACCACAACTTCACTTGAACTGTAGCATATAAAGAGTGGGCGTGGCAGAGAGAGACTCCTTCTCCCTCTTCCCCATTCCCCCCATGGATGGTTAGGGGTGGAGATGGCTGACAGTTCAGACCAGTAATCAATCACAATGTACACTTGTAAATGAGATATTTGGGTGAGCACATACTGCTGGTTGAAAATAAAATAAAGGTATTTTTTGGATCTTTTGGATATTAATAATGGTTATTTTCAGGTTGTTATCAGCAATCATGTTACAGCCTTGGATAACGTTGCTATAGAAACTATTCTTCCAAGTATCATGGTTAGCATTAATTTTTTGTTTTGGCTCATAAACTGACCAAGTCCACTTAAATAATTTTAGTTTGCACATTTTAATCATATTTAACTATATAGTTTACATCATTCTGTTCCAGTTCATGCATGTATTTTTATTTTATTTTAATTTTTCTTGCTTTTCTCTCACATAAGTGGCAATTATTTGATATAGCTTGTATCTTTATTTTATTATTTAAAAGAAATTTCGAGGGCTCAAAAGCAAGCACCATCCTGTTGTTTGAAACAAGTAAATTTTCTTGCTGGGCAAGCAACCTTTTAACTCACTTGTCCCCTGGGCAAGGGTCCAGGCAAATCGAACATCCACATTGATTTCGCAATTGATTCTTTTTGTTCGTTACTGGTAGCCTGTCCGTTTCTCTCTTGACGAACAGGTTTCGTCTACTGAACTTTAAGTTCAAAAAAAAAAGTCGGAAGAAAACAAATAACATGTGATCTGAAATGTACAATGTAATATCAGGCAAATTAAATTGACAGCTGTACCATCCACCCTCCATTAAATAATTATGCAACCTCTTCTAGGGGTATAGAATGGTACGTCAAAAAACATGGGTGTTGGAAAATTTTGGCCTGATCTGGAAATCCCAGAAGCGTTGATGGTTCGTGCAGTCTTGTTTTCAAGTGATTTTTGTGTCTTGGAGTCTCAATTTTTTTTCTGCCGATGGATCTGGGATTTAAGGATTTGTCATTTTTTCCTTCTGTTTGATCTTCAGGAGTTGAATTTTTCAGAGTTCCTGGGTGCAGCTTATTGAATTGAGCTAATAATAGATTAAGACAGTAAAACAAGAAGCATTTACATATTGATGGGCTATAGGCATTTTCAGTCATTTTATTTAGCTTTGTTTGTACCATTATCTTGAATTTTTTTGGCGCTTAGGGTCTCGGGCTTGGATTTTTTAGAAGTCTGGACTCAGAATTGATAAAAATCTCTAAGTCTTGGTCTCAAATATTGGAACCAGGGTCTGACAGTCTAGCAAAGTCTTGAATTTACCATTCTATACCCCTTGTACTGTATTTTAGTGGATGGTTTTTTGGTAATAGGTAGATCATCTGACCACATTAAGTTCAGGTTCCAAGAAATCATACAATGTAACATTGTTGTTATTATTCCCAGCCGTTTAGCAAATGTGATTGCCCATGGCTTGTAAAGTGGATCTTAGGCTACCAGGAATTTACTTCTGACAAAGACAGAGAAAATATAGATGATAACATTAAAGAACATTTACAAGGTACATATCGAGACAGCAAACTGTGTCATGTTAACTTCAGGTTATTATTTTTCATGATATTAATAGTCACTCAGATTATTTTCTTTGGTTTAACTGAGGACAAGAGGGCATGGCTGCTTGTACTTGACAAAATGTGTTTAAATAATCACATTTTTAATTGCAATAAAAGGCAAATGTTGAAATTCGTTTTGCTTCAAATATTCAAGATTTATTTACACATGATGGTACAGTATATAATTATGTATTTTAGTGAGGGAGAGTTGTTGTGTTGCAGCAGTGGTATAATAAAATTTTTCTTTCTATATTTTTAGAATCAGTAGAATCCTCACTTTTCTTTACATTTAATGACTTTGGATGTATTATCTAGTCAAACCACTGGTTATTTTTGCCACTTTGTTCTAGGTTATTTGCTGTATCAACAATATTACTATAATTATACACTGATTTCTCCCAATTTGTTAGAATCTACTACCCCTCTTCTTGTGTTTCCTGAAGAACAAATCACCAATGGAAAAAGAGGACTCATGAAATTTAGGTAAGTGTCATAATATTATAGTAAGGTGTTCTTCCTATTTTGGAAGGCCAGGTGTCACAAGGTTACCAAATAATCTGGAGCTTTAGCAGTGATGATGGTGACGGCAACGAGAACAGCTCAAAAAAGCAGGATTGTTGGCTTAACAAAACAACAACTCTGCACATGCATAACCCTCATGCTTTTTTCTACATTTCTTTGCCGTCGTTGCAGGACTACAATGTGACACTTCCTAATTTCACGTTATATGAAAGACATGAACACGAGACAATGATTTAATTTTTCTTTCTCTGAAATTAGATACAGTCCCTTAGAATTCAATTCCAGAAAAATTTGCCGACATTTGACAAATTGAACAAGGTGGAATAAGAGCGAAGAAGTTTGAAGCAGTACGAATTCACTTTTTGTATGACGTTTTCACTGCCATCACTGTTGTTGATGCTAAAGCTCCCTACTACTGGATGAACTGCAAGTACATGTATCAGATCAAAACATTCTAGTTATTTGTATAAAATAGTAAAGAGAAAAGGTTATAGCCATTTGGAAAATGCTTTGTGTCACATGGTGCGTGAAGTATGTGTTCTGCATAATAAATTTCTTGTCTTAAGAGAAGCCTCAACATAGTAGTTTACACTTTTTTACTTATCTTTGGTGTTTGATTCAATCGTAGTTGTTCGATAATTCTGTTTCTTTTGTAGCCCTTGGGGTTTTCAATTCAGCAGCACTGTACTTCCTGTAAGTATCTGCATCATAATTCAGTTTTATTTTGACGTATAGGCCTTATTCACTTGAGTATTAATTTTATCGTAATCCATAGTGAGAAAAGTCAAGTAGTTGTTCTAAAGAAGAAAAAATGGTTGGTTATTTTGCAGGTTTTAATCTCAGTGAGACGTCCTCTGATTATCCAGATACCTGCCGTAAGTTTCTTGCTTTATATTACTGATATCCAGTTTATCCCTGATAAGCTGATCCATAGGTCTTTTGTAGCAAAAACTTGATCATTCTGTAAACAAGGTTGTACTCATTTTATGCCGCCACAAACAAAATTTTCATGTATCTGATGAGAAGTGCAATTTCCAGCAATTTTGGATTTAGTTTTGTTCATTAGTGAACTTACGCAAAAGGACAGCAGAGGAAAGAAGACGGCAAACCTTGTGTGACAAGTGTAATCAACACTAATGCCTTATAAAAATTCTGCCAAACTTCAACTTCCTTTAAACAGGACTTTTTTAAAAAGTCCAGGTCACAGTAATGTTAAGCGAAGATCAGAGCAAAAGTCACAAGTTTTAGCCCTGTCACATTTGTCATACACAAACGTTTTGCTGTCCTCTTCTTTTAATTTGTGCTGTCCTGTTTTGTAAGTTCACCATTTTTTTGATGACGACTGTGGTAGGGAAAACGTCACTAAAAATGAATTTGTGTCCTTTCAAACCTTATCGTGTCTAGTGGATTCTTTCAATAATTATTAATTAAATTATTGGTCAAATGAAGGCAATTTCTCGTGGAGTTGAATTCTTAAGGACTTAATCCAGGTTCAAAGAGAGAAAGGAAAGTTAATTGTTGCACATTCATGTCCTCCATAAAACACCGCCTTAAATGTAAGGAGGTTTCACGTCATAGTTTTGCAGTGAACATCAAATAAATATACTAAGAAGCGTGATGTAGGACAGAGCTGTTGTCTTGCTAATAAAACCAATAATTGTTTTTGACGTTGTCGTTGTTGTCATCGTCTTTGTTGTCTTTGTCATTGCTTAAGCACCCTATTGTAGCTGGCGTGACTGCTTCTTGTGTTCAGGTCATTACAATGCTTCAATGTTACTAAAATTATTTTTTGTTTTAGCATGTTTTGGAAAGTGGATGGTGGCAGGATTTGTTCTGGTCCATGTTTGTTCCGTACACACATTATCACATCAGGTCAGTGTTTGTTGTCTACTTACTAGCAAAAAATAGGATACAATCACATGGTTTAGAAGAGGTTATTATTGTGAAGGTTTTAGTTAAATAACGTTCACGTCAACTTGTTGGGTAGGCTGAAAACCTCCCAGTGCTGCAAATAACAGTCACTCATTACACAATGTCTGACTAAAATAATGTTGCCCATTTCTAATAAAACCCTAATTGTGGTTGGATGTGGTGATTGAGCAGATCAAAAATTAAACAGAGGCCATTATTTGGAAGCTGTTCATCTTTAAGTTCTTAAGGAAATTAAAGAACATGCCAGATACTCAGCAACATGGTGACCTGCTGGTCAGACTAATGTGGACCCTTTCTGTTTCACAAGCAATTAAAAGGAATTTGAAAGGAGGATCTAGCAGTTTACATTATTTTGTATCTGAAGTCATTTTTATTTATGCACCCATTCAGTTATTAATTTTGCAGCTCTTCCTCCCTGATCCTGTTAGTGGACACTTGGTGATGGATGCAGCTGCATACAAATGTATCTTAAGCCGACCCCTTTTCCTACACAGAAGCTTTTTCTGGTCCAATCCATGGGTGTCCACTTGCGGGAGGTTTGACTGTTAAAGCTTATTTTCCACAGGATACTTCCTCCTATGGAATCCAAGTCAGATGATGTTTGTAGTGATCTTCAGAAAGTAAGTAGGGCTTTGGACTCACTTGTTGCTGCCACAATGCCTTTGATTCGTATCCAGCACGTTTGTTTGCAAACTATCTTAGTTGCCATATTTCAATCCTATATTTTTTTCAGTGTCACGTAGTATATTATTCACGAATTAGGGCTAGGAGACAAAGAAAACTGAGAATCAATCCAGTTAAAAAATTTTAACCTGAATTTGATTTCAACCTGTAACATGTACATAAATGTAGTTACCAGTACTACGGTATTTCTAAGCAATAGCCTTTCAAGCAGTAGGATACGTCATTGAGAAACTTGAAATATGGGACAAATTTGTAGGGAAAATTAGACTAGTAAACATGTATTTTATTATTTTTAGCTGATGGCCAGTGCTCTTGGAGTGACACCTACAAGTTATTCATCTGAAGATGTCAGTGAATTAATAAAGCAAATCAATCTTCAGGCAGGTATTAAAAAAAAACAGTTATTTTGTAATAAATGATTATTTTTCCAACAACTATGTTGCGGTTAATAATTGCTTTTCCTTTGTTTCAAATTCATTAGCAACATTACCATACCAAAAAACAATGGAAAAATAAAAATTAAGTGGGATAAAAAATTAACTACAACAACTACAGTAACATATTGCAATGTAATGAAAACAGGTGTCCAGGAAATCTGGACGCCTCTACTGTGAGCAGCCGCAGGCTCCTGCCAGCTGGCCCCTGGACAGAAAATCACTCCCACGGCTGACAATCCCTGCAACCCAGGCATGAGCCTCCAGGAACACCACTCCAATCCCACCTGTCACACAGCGTTTACAGTGGAAAGTAAGGAAATGGGATGGGAGGGCAAAAATGAAACTGTTTGGGGTAAGAAGAAACTCTTAAATGAAAATGGAGAACGCACTCCACTATTTAATATTCACTGCTATTCACTGGACATTAATTCATTCAGTGTATTGCACTCATCAACTTTCAGACAGTGGGGGCCAAGTTCAGTTTTGAATGTATAAAAATATGATCTTAACTAGAGCCTGATAATAAAGACCTTGATTGTTTCAGCTCAAGCAAGGGCCCTGTCTCAGCAACCCAAGCCAGCACCAAATGGTAGAAACCCTCCAAATCAAGACCCTAACAATACAAGTCCCAACACAAGACTAACACGAATGGTTCAACAAGTCAAGGATGTGTTGCCACAGGTTCCTGCAACAGTGATTTCAAGAGATCTGAGTGAGTACAAAACCCTTGCTCTGTTTACTGTGAATCTCAGAAAACCGTGAACATTAGAAATATTTCTGGAGTGATGTAACTAAAGCGTTAACTAAGAAAAACAAGCAATGACCATCGGACAGGCAAAGAGAGAACTGCTTGTCCAAAGCAGATGACTTGAAATTCAAGTTTTTTTTTTCAGCCTTCTTTTGTTTATTGTACACTATTGAAATATACAATGTAATATCAGGCAAATGAAATTGACAGCTGTACCATCCACCCTCCATTAAATATGCAACCTCTTCTAGGGGTATAGAATGGTATGTGAAAAAACGTGGGTGTTGGAAAAATTTTGGCCTGATCTGGAAATCCCAGAAGCGTTGATGGTTCGTGAAGTCTTGTTTTCAGGTGATTTTTGTGTCTCGGAGTCTCAATTTTTATTCTGGCGATGGATCTCGGATTCAAGGATTTGTCATTTTTTCCTTCTGTTTGATCTTCAGGAGTTGAATTTTTCAGAGTTCCTGGGTCCAGCTTATTGAATTGAGCTAATAATAGATTTAGACAGTAAAACAAGAAGCATTTACATATTGTTGGGCTATTGGTGTTTTCAGTCACTTTATTTAGCTTTGTTTGTACATTATCTTGAATTTTTTTGGCGCTTAAGGTCTCAGGCTTGGATTTTTTAGAAGTCTGGACTCAGAATTGATAAAAATCTCTAAGTCTTGGTCTCAAATATTGGAACCAGGGTCTGACAGTCTAGCAAAGTCTTGAATTTACCATTTTATACCCCTTGTACTGTATTTTAGTGGATGGTTTTTTGGTTAGGTAGATCATCTGACCACATTAAGTTCAGGTTCCAGGAAATCATACAATGTAACGTTGTTGTTATTATTCCCAGCCGTTTAGCAAATGTGATTGCCCATGGCTTGTAAAGTGGATCTTAGGCTACCAGGAATTTACTTCTGACAAAGACAGAGAAAATATAGATGATAACATTAAAGAATATTTACAAGGTACAGATCTAGACAGCGAATTGTGTCATGTTAACTTCAGATTATTATTTTTCATGATATTAATAGTCACCCAGATTATTTTCTTTGGTTTAATTGAGGACAAGAGGGCATGGCTGCTTGTACTGGACAAAATGTGTTTAAATAGTCACATTTTTAATTTCAATGAAAGGCAAATGTTGAAATTCGTTTTGTTTCAAATATTCAAGATTTATTTACACATGATAGTACAGAATATAATTATGTATTTTAGTGAGGGAGAGTTGTTGTGTTATTTGTTGCAGCAGTGGTATAATAAAATTTTCCTTTCTATTTTTTTAGAATCGGTAGAATCCTCACTTTCTTTTTACATTTAATGACTTTGGATGTATTATCTAGTCAAACCACTGGTTATTTTTGCCACTTTGTTCTAGGTTATTTGCTCTATCAACAATTTTACTATAATTATACACTGATTCCTCCCAATTTGTTAGAATCTAGTACCCCTCTTCTTGTGTTTCCTGAAGAACAAATCACCAATGGAAAAAGAGGACTCATGAAATTTAGGTAAGTGTCATAATATTATAGTAAGGTGTTCTTCCTATTTTGGAAGGCCGGGTGTCACAAGGTTACCAAATAATCTGGAGCTTTAGCAGTGATGATGGTGACGGCAACGAGAACAGCTCAAAAAAGCAGGATTGTTAGCTTAACAAAACAACAACTCCGCACATGCATCACGCTCATGCTTTTTTGTACATTTCTTTGCCGTCGTTGCACGACTACAATGTGACACTTCCTAATTTCACGTTACATGAAAGACATGAACACGAGACAATGATTTAATTTTTCTTTCTCTAAAAATTAGATACAGTCCCTTAGAATTCAATTCCAGAAAAATTTGCCAACATTTGACAAATTGAACGAGATGGAATAAGAGCGGAGAAGTTTGAAGCAGCACGAATTCACTTTTTGTATGACGTTTTCACTAGAAGTGGCGAACGGTAAAATCCGAGACTTGCCAAGACGCCGAGATCCTAGTTAGAAATCCGAGCCCGAGACTTTTTGGTGAAAAGTTTCGAGACTCAAAAAAAGTAAAAACAAACCATGAAAAAATGAGACTTCGAGACTTATCAAAAACACTTCCAAGATTTTGAGATCCTGCCAAAATTTTCCGAGACCCACTTTTTTCGAGGTACCATTCGCCACCTCTTTCACTGCCATTGCTGTTGTTGATGCTAAAGCTCCCTAATACTGGATGAACTGCAAGTACATGTATCAGATCAAAACATTCTAGTTATTTGTATAAAAGAGTAAAGAAGGAAAGGTTATTGCCATTTGGAAAATGTTTTGTGTCACGTGGTGCGTGAAGAATGTGTTCTGCATGATAAATTTCTTGTCTTCAGAGAAGCCTTAACATAATAGTTTACACTTTTTTACTTATCTTTGTTGTTTGATTTAATCTTAGTTGTTTGATAATTCTGTTTCTTTTGTAGCCCTTGGGGTTTTCAATTCAGCAGCACTGTACTTCCTGTAAGTATCCTCATTGTAAATATCAGCAGGAGTGAACAGTTTTATTTTGACATAATTATAGGCCTTATCCACTTTTAGTTGAGTATTTATCGTAATCCATATGAGAAAAGTCAAATAGTTCTTCTAAAGAAAAAAAAAATGGTTGGTTATTTTGCAGGTTTTAATCTCAGTGAGACGTCCTCTGATTATCCAGATACCTGCCGTAAGTTTCTTGCTTTATGTTACTGATATCCAGTTTATCCCTAATAAGCTGATCCATAGGTCTTTTGAAGCAAAAACTTGATCATTCTGTAAATAAGGTTGTGCTCATTTTATGCCACCACATAAAGCAAAATTTTCTTGTATCTGATGAGAAAGTGCAATTTCCAGCAATTTTATGTTCAGTTTTGCTCATTAGTGAACTTACACAAAAGGACAACAGAGGAAAGAAGACGGCAAACCTTGTCTGACAAGCGTAACAAAACTAATGTTTTTTAAAAATTCTGCCAAATTTAAACTTCCTTTTATACTGTGAACCTCACAGAAGCGTGAACACCAGAAATATTTATGGAAGGTTATTGTATTGCGAGGAAATAGCCAATAAGTTATGAGAAAACTAAGCCACAAACAGCAACAGTAATTAGTAACTTGTGGTTCTGAGGTTTGCTCACGTGTCCTGAACATTAATGTGATTGGTCACCACACGATCAACATTCCCGAAATTATTCATTTGTTCACGGTTTTCTGAGTTTCACAGTAAATGGGACTTTTTTACAAAGACCAGGACACAGTAATGTTAAGCGAAGGTCAGAGCAAAAGTCGCAAGTAATAGCCCTACATTTGTCAGACACAAACGTTTTGCTGTCCTCTTTGTGCTGTCCTGTGGTGTAAGCTCGCCATTTGGGAGCTTGAGCAATGTGACGACGATAGCAGTGAAAAGGTCGCTAAAAAATGAATTTGTGTCCGTTCAAACCTTATCGTGTCTATTGGATTTCTTTCAATTGGTCAAATGAAGGCAATTTCTCCTGGAGCTGAATTCTTAAGAACTTAATTCAGGTTCAAAAAGAGAAAGGAAAGTTAATTGGTGGACATTCATGTCCTCCATGAAACACTGCCTTATATTAGTATAAGGAGGTTTCACGTCATAGTCGTGCAGTGAATGTCAAAGAAATATACTAAGAAGGGTGATGCATGGCAGAGCTGTTGTCTTGCTAATAAAACCAATAATTGTTTTTTGACGTTGTTGTTGTTGTCATTGTCTTTGTTGTCTTTATCGTTGCTTATGCAACTTATTGTTGGTGGCGTGAGATTTCTGGTGTGCAGGTCATTACAATCCTTCAATGCTACTCAGTTTTTTTTTGGATTTAGCATGTTTTGGAAAGTGGATGGTGGCAGGATTTGTTTTGGTCCATGTTTGTTCCATACACACATTATCACATCAGGTCAGTGTTTGTTGTCTACTTACTAGCAAAAAATAGGATATAATCACATGGTTTAGAAGAGGTCATTACTGTGAAGGTTTAAGTGAAATAACATTCACGCCACCTTGTTGCATAGGCTGAAAACCTCCCAGTGCTGCAAATAACAGTCACTCATTAGACAATGTCTGACAAAAATAATGTTGCCCATTTCTAATAAAACCCTAATTGTGATTGGACATGGTGATTGAGCAGATCAAAAATTGATCAGAGACCATTATTTTGAAGCTGTTCATCTTTAAGTTCTGAAGAAAATTGAAGGAAATGCCAGATGCCCAACAACATGGTGACCTGCTGGTCAGACTAATATGGACCCTTTCTATTTCACAAGCAATCAAAAGGAATTTGAGAGGAGGATCTAGCAGTTTACATTATTTTGTATCTGAAGTCACTTTTATTTATGCACCCATTCAGTTATTAATTCTGCAGCTCTTCCTCCCTGATCCTGTTAGTGGACACTTGGTGATGGACGCAGCTGCATGCAAATATATCTTAAGCCAACCCCTTTTCCTACACAGAAGCTTTTTCTGGTCCAATCCATGGGTGTCCGCTTGCTGGAGGTTTGCCTGTTAAAGGTTGCATTATGGTAATAATGTTGATCTCAAAAGAAAAGAGGTGTGATTTTATTTTCCACAGGATACTTCCTCCTATGGAATCCAAGTCAGATGATGTTTGTAGTGATCTTCAGAAAGTAAGTAGGGCTTTGGACTCACTTATTGCTACCACAATGCCTATGATTCGAATTCAGCAGGCTTGTTTGCAAACTATCTTCGTTGCCACATTTCAATCCTACCGGGGTATATATATTTTTCAGTGTCACGTAGTATATTATTAATGATATAGGGCTAGGAGACAAAGGAAATTGAAAATCAACCTAGGTTAAAAAAATTTTAACCTGACTTCGATTTTGACCTGTAACATATACATAAAAATTAATGTAGTTACCAGTACTATTTCTAAGCAATAGCCTTTCAAGCAGTAAGATACGTCATTGAGAAGCTTCAAGTATGGGACAAATTTGTGGGGAAAGTTAGACTTGTAAACATGTATTTTATTATTTTTAGCTGATGGCCAGTGCTCTTGGAGTGACACCTACAAGTTATTCATCCGAAGATGTCAGTGAATTAATAAAGCAAATCAATCTTCAGGCAGGTAGTAAAAACACAATGATTTTGTAATGAATGATTATTTTTCCAACAACTATGTTGCAGTTAATTTTTGTTTTTCCTTTGTTTCAAATTCCTTAGCAACATTACCATACCAAAAAACAATGGAAAAATAAAAATTAAGTGAGATAAAAATTAACTACAACAACTACATATTGCAATGTGATGAAGACAGGTGTCCAAGAAGTCTGGATGCCTCCACTGTGACCAGCTGCAGGCTCCTGCCAGCCAGCCCCTGGACAGAAAATCACTCCTATGGCTGGCAATCCCCGCCACCCAGGCATGAGCCTCCAGGCACACCACACTGAGTTGTCCAGGCACCTGTCACACTGTGTTTACAGTGGAAAGTAAGGAAATGGAAAGGGAGGGAGAAAAATGAAACTGAAGAAACTAAAAAATTAAAATGGAGAATGCACTCCACTATTCAATATTCACTGCTATTCACTGGGCATTAATTCATTCAGTGTATTTAAGACAGTGGGGGCTAAGTTCAGTTTTGGATGTACAAAAATGTGTTCTTAAATAGAGCCTGATAAAGATCTTGATTGTTTCAGCTCAAGCAAGGACCCTGTCTCAGCAACCCAAGCCAGCACCAAATGGTAGAACCCCTCCAAATCAAGACCCTAACAATGCAAGTCCCAACACAAGGCTAACACGAATGGTGCAACAAGTCATCCTACACAACGGTGTCCAAGGACGTTGTCACTAAAGTTCTCTAGACTCACTCATGTTTTGGGAACGAGACAAATGACACTTAGAGTCTTTTGGCACTTGTAATCTTTATAAAGACCTCACCTATTGTGTTTCACAGAAAAAGCCAATCAGACGTGGGAAAACTGACCCAAAAGCAACATGGATAATTAATTTGTGGTTTTGTGGCTACTATCTTTGTTATGATTGATCATAGCGCATTAAACATTCCTGAAACATTGCAGGTGTCCACGGTTTTCTAAAGCTATAGTAAAACATGCAACAAAAATGTGCAACCTTTTTTGCAACATTGCTGCAGAACGTGTTGATTAAAGCGATGTTACGCGTTTCATCATCCACGTTTAAACCCAGTGTCTTGCAACAAATCAGGTTGCTGCAAGTTGCGTGAATACTGCCTTATGATTGGAGTGAGTGCAAAGATATTTTGGATAATGCTGCACTAGTTGATAGAACTGAGATGGCTTACCTTACATAAGCAAGCAAAATATTGGAGGATCGCAGGAGAGGATTAGTTGAGCATGAAAGATGCACTAACAGTTGCAAAGGAAAAGCAGCAACCACTACCACTACCACTACCACTACTACTACCACTACCACTACCACTACCCCACTACCCCTACCACTACTACTACCACTACCACTACCACTACCACTACCACTACTACTACCACTACCACTACCACTACCACTACCAGTACTACTACTACTACCACTACCACTACCCCACTACCAGTGACTACCACTACCACTACCACTACAACTACTACTACTACTACCACTACCACTACTACTACCACTACCACTACCCCACTACCACTACCACTACCACTACCATCAATGTCTGTAAATGAAGTGAGACTTGAAATAATACGTTAGAAGTAGTTGTAGCTGGAATTTGCTTATGAAACCGATTAGAAGAACACCTAAACATAGAAGTTTTGGCAGTGTAGTAACAAATTAATTCGTTATTTATTCGTAAATGTAATTTTTGTTTTCTTGCTGAAGGTCGAACACATTGTGTTGACACAACCATTACTAATATTTTGGAGGGAAGAGTAAGCTATGTACCTGAGAAAGAAAACAGCAAGACAGAGTCATCCAGTGACGCTAAAATCACACCTGCGAGAGTGTCTAACGAGGTGGGTATCTTTCACGGAAACTAAAGCGTACATTTAAGATTGAGGTTTCAATAATATACTGTTTTTTTTGTCAGTTTAGTTCAGTTTATTGTTTTGCTATAATGGTGTAAAAAAAAAAAAAAAACAAGGAAATCTAAATATTTAAAAAGCTAATGGCAAGGAAGCCAAAGGGAAGCCACCGGGCTTATAAGAAATGGGCTCAGTTAAATTATTACAACAACATATTAACAGCATTATACATGCATTTCTCCATATAAACACTTTGGCTTGCCCAGCCAGGTCAACACAGTCAGAGCATGCGCGAGCGCTGTTGGCTCTGGTTAATCTCTTCCCAGAGGCTGCGATCCTCTTGGTCAGCGACGGGGATTGGGCTCTGGCAAATGGGTCGACTTTTTTCTCGTTTTACATGCTCGTGAACGTTGACTGGGCTGGGAGGGGAGGGTGACCCATCTACCCAAAATAGATTTTCTCCATATGAACGGGGCCTTTTTAACTTTATTGCCGTTCTCGATGCCGTCGCAGTCCTCGAATCTTAGAGCAATTTTCGTATGACCTTGAAATGAAAACGCGCAAACAAAACAGAAACAACAAACGAACGGAATTAGGGCGATTTGATTGGTTTATCGAACGGGTGCAAACGCGCGTGGCTTTTGGTTGGTTAAGCGAACGCTCGGGTGAAAAAACTTCATGCTCGAGAACTTTCTAGAAATCAACCGATAATTCGCTTTGACGTCATACTGCAACAGATTGGCCAATCGGAATCGAACAATGGCTTCTCCACATTAGGGTTTTCTTTGGCGGGAAAACGAAGAGGCCATGTCTTGATCTTTTCATTCATTAGCTGATAAAACAAATAACGAACACTTACCGAAACCAGTTTTCAAGGTCATACGAAAATCGCTCAAAGGTTTAAACAAGGTTCCACTGCATAAGAACAGGGCCCTAAGTGGGCGCTTTCAGTGTCTATTAGGAGGATACCAACTTAGGAAGGTGAGACAGGTGGTGAAGTTAACAGATCTATCCTTTCTCGTCTAGACAACACCAACCAAGACGCAAGACGTTACATTCTCACGTTTTCCTGAGGAAAGACAAAAACTGCTGAACGAAAGAAAAGCCATGATGCTTGAAAATGCAAGAAGGTAATAACCACTCATCATCGTGAGTACTGATATTGTCTTATATCTGGTAGTTAATGATAATCGGATCTTTCGAGACAAATCCTTTCAGTTAAGCTCGGTTCTTTAAGTACCAGTAGTAAACACAGATTAGTAAAGTGTAGTCGAGATTCCAATTCGTGTGTGATATCACATGGTTTGGAAACAGCGTAGTATGTGTCTGATGTCACATGGTTTAAAACAAGGCGGATTAGCCTGTTCTAAGCGTTCAGAACTCGCTCCGAACCGTCTGATCGCCGCGCTCTACTATTTGAACTCCTGGTACAGGCTAAAGGCAGATCCGCCCCGGTTTAAAACGAGCCGTGAAAACGAGGTAAATTTCCGCGACATAGGAAACGGCCACTTCGATTGTCCTCAGAACAAAATTAGGAAGCGGTGAAATATATCACAACTGTTGTTTTTTCTTTTGGATGTCTTTATGTTGCTGTTAAGCATAGTGGGGGGTTGATCGGCATAAGCTCAAGCACAGAGAAAAATAAAACAACAAGAAAAGAAAACAAGAAAGAAACTAACTAGTTTGTTGTTGGAGTAAAACAAAGCCAGCTAAAACCTTAAGCATTAAAAAAAAAGACTGACTGTCGTTATCAAAAAAAGTTGTCACTTGAAGGACGTAGAGCTATCTCTTATTCCCGTTCAACAAAGTAAATGGCCTCATAAAGACACTGTTTAGCAGTTGTTTTTGTTGAACAAGAACTGCAACATTTTGTTGCTCAAGAGTGTCACTGCCACTTAATCCCGTTATCTCGACATGCTTGGTATTTGAACACTGCTTGTCCAAACACGTATTCGCCACAACTAATGTAAAGGAAGAATGGGCACAAACTTTCAGCGCAACAATTCCTGGGATCCATTGGGGGCTGGGGGCGGGAGGCAAGATTTAGTTGTGATTAATGGCTGATGGTATTCAAAAGCAATCGTTAGCCAATCATTGCTTACTTGACTAGTTCTTACGCATTTTTTAACAGGCGCTTCCTCAATAAATAAACATAACACAGAAACCAAATTGTAGAGGAACACGTTCACCCGTTGTGTCGACGTTACTGGCTTTACGTACACGTCCCCTGTAAGACAGTGTGTGTAGAGCTTGGTGCAGTGAAGTACACCGTGAGTTGTGTTCACCTTTTCACGGACCAGATGAGCCACAGTCTCATCTTCAAAGTCTTGCGAATACTAACAGAATATTCAGGTCCCAAAGCCTGATTAAAGATGTGTGGCACTAAATTTTTGCGATTACGTTATTGCGGAACAGAGACTGTGAAAGACGAATAGGAACAATCAACCAAGATAAAAATGCAATACAACTGAATGACTTAGAATGGCATTTCCGTAAAACCGTAGTTTTCTTAAATAAATACGTAACAGAGTGTTGTATGCAGCTTGTTGAAATTTCAGACATTAGCTCCGAGTCCTTTTCAGAAAAAGAGAAACTTGTCTTAATAACCCATCGCCAAAATTAGTTCCCGCAAACATCGCCCGCTCGGGAATTTTAACTCCCGCAAAGATTTAGTTCCACACGATGCTAGTCGTAGTATTTATCTATAACTTTAAAAAAAAAAACTAAGTGGGGCCCTGTTATTAGGGACCTTAAGCAACGACGACTGCGACGGTAACGAGAACTGCAAAAAAGCAACAGGTTTAGACTAGCAAAACCTGCATCACACTATTTTAGTGAAAGTGCCTAATTTCACGTTTTGTCGAGGACGAGAACACAAGACTACAACTTTCTTTATCTTTTCCTGAACTTGATTCAGACCTTTAGAATTCAACTACAAAAACCTTTGCCCACATTTGACGAACTGAGCGAGATGGAATAAGCGCGATAAAGTTTGAAGCAACGCGAATTCACTTTTTAAGTGACGTTTCCGTAGCCGTCGCCATCGTTGTTGCTTAAGTTCCGCATTGATAACGACGGAAACTGAAAGGGATGTAACGGGGAACGAGGAACAGGAAGCGGGGAACGTGCAGTGGGGAACGGGAAAAATGAAAAATCGGAACAAGACGTTAACCTAACTTGGACCCCAGCTCTATCAGTAAGTTCTCTTTAATTGTCTATTTTGTTCCCATTTTGGATTTCCCCGTTCTCCGTGTTCGTTTTCCGTTCCCCCTTTTGGCACCATCCAAACTGAAAGGGACCATAAGGATTTTTCTTGCACGGTGACAAATTTCAGGGTCGGCTTTGAGAGAAGTAAGCTGTTTTTTTTTGTTGAGGTGATCTCTTCTTGGATACCTTGGCGTCTGAATCGCGTTTTGCTAGCTAAAGTTGTTTTGTCTCGATATTTTTGACCAACTAGTTGGATTTTACTAAGACGATTATTCCTCTCGCCCAAATAGCCTCTGAGTCAATAGCCCATTCGGCCGCTATTAGCTCAGAGCCCGTTCGGGCTGGAGGAATAATTGTCAAGTAGATGCAAGTTTTAGAGTCGCCCAATGTTGTATTTTTGTCGCCATTTGAGGCACCGTTCTTCCTCTGACTCTGTCGTGTACAAGAAATGACAGGAGAGTATTATGAAATAATACAAAGTTGAACCTCACCTGTACGGCCACCTTATGGAGAAAAGAAACTCGTCGTTGTAGAGAGGTTTAAACAAGAGTCAATGTATGTACTGTCTACCAAAAAAAAAGTGCCCGTTGTGGAGAGGTGGCCGTTAGTGGAGGTTATTAATATTATTTCTTTTTCATCGGTAACTTCAGTTGATTAGGTAGTAATGTACTTGTAGTACTTTCCTTTTAATTGTTTAATACATAGTATCATCTGGCAGTTGTGTTGCACCTGTTTAACCCTTTCGGCTTTAACTAGCCATTTTGAGTCTGACCTTCAGACTGGGTTGAACGGTGTTGTTTCGAATTGCATTTTGGGTCTATTTGTCCCAGTTTCTTGCAGAACTTAATATTCGCCAATTCTCTGACCATTTTCACATAGACCATAATGCACCGTGTTTTTCCCCCATAATTTTGCAAAACCATTGTCTTCGATTTCTCTAGGGACCACTGTAATACCCAGGAGAAATTGGAAACAATGATTATGTAGATTGTTTGTTTGTTTGTTTGTTTGTTTTTTTTTGGGGGGGGGGCGGGAAAGGTGTACTATGGTTTTTATGAAAATGGTGAATGAAAAAAGTGACATCATATCTAATCCAGCCCTATAGAGCAGTTCGAAACAACACCGACCCAGTCCGACGCCAATAGTGACCTAGCCTCCAACGCAAACGTTCTTAGGGGTTCGTGGGGCAGGAACGCGTGACGAACCCCTAAGAACGTATCCGTGGGAGGCTAATATAGACCAACATTTCCTTTCTCCTTATACCGTTTGGTATAACGAGAATGTAGCAATTGATCACTAACGATGAACAAATTCTCCAGACCAGTGTCGCAAGCAACTTACTACGGTCAAGTAGTCTGAAGTTCATTGAAGCTGATGTCTTTACATACATAGCTACGCTATCATTGCCCTTCAAAGTTTATCAATACGCTATGTGAAGTGCCTTCTTTGCTACGTGGCTACTTGGTTTCCATATAACAGTCAGGATCGACTCCGTTGCTTCGATTTTTGGGGGCGATTAAGATGATCCGGTCGTTTATATGAGGATCAGCCTATATTTATACACTTCAGAGTGTTCAGTTCATGATCTTGCAATTGCACCAGTGTGGACGGGGATTTGTCCGCGTCGCACCAAACATGTTTCGAGATACTGATCTTCTCCATCGCCCGGACACATTTGGAGACATTTCGGGCGATCCGGACGAAATACATTCATAGCTTTCGGCGAGATAACTTTCAGGCAACTTAACCAGTACCTCGGGAAAGGTTTTGAAATTGAGTAGTTTGAAGTAAACTCCTTCGCTAGTTGTGTGCGGCTTTCTGGAAAGCAAACTTAAGAACCTACGTTGATTTTCAGTTTATATAGTTACTATCTATTTTGAAATACCCCTGGCAGTTTGGTTATGGTTCTTAGCAGAGAGTTTAAAGGTGCTATACTCTATTATTCGTAGGTACTGTAAATCCTCTATTAACCACCCCCCTTCTCAAATAAGCCCCTTCTCTCCCCCGTATTATTTTTACTAATAAATGATAGACTGTATTAATCAATCACCACTGTAAAACTTCGTGTTGACTGATCCGAGATAGTTAATTCACCAACTGGAAGTTCGAATTGGCTTTTGATACTCGGCGGCGTGACCTCCAACTTCTTGTACTTGAGCTTTTCCACTTTGTATTACAGAGAACTGAAACCATCGTCTTTGCTAAATTAAGCCCTCCCCCTCCCCTTCCGCCCAAATGTGTTTCAAAAAAAATAAGCCCCCGGCGGGGGAGGAAGCTTTATAGAGGAGTTACAGTAATTGTATCTAGTATGTTCGGCAAGCTGGACTCCACTGAGAATAAATTTTGTTAAACTGATTCAAGACTGACTGTTGTTGTGTGGTCCTGTTTGGTTTAAGTGACTTCTACGCCGGTCAATGTAAAACAGCAACGCGGCAAATGATCAACTTCAATGTTTTGCAGAGAAAGTGTAAGGAAAATTTCATGGGAATGGCAACACTAAACGGAAGGGGTTTTCAATGGCATGACATTTTCTAGATGACATAATTTGAAAAAGTAAACTTTTCAAAGGTGTTACCCTTTTCCTTATGTTCCTTCATGACAAAAGGCAACCGTAAGACGTTTATCTTACTTCTAAAGCATTTTGTGGACAAAACAGGAGCATCCTATGAAATATAAAAAAGACTGCTGCAGGTACAGAAGTAACGTTTGCAGTTACGAAAAAGGTAACCTGAAAATTCCAGGATTGTACGGATGTCATTTGAACCATTGACATCTGCGATAACGGTGCAGCACTCAAACGCACCGACAAAATGACCAGCTCCCTATAAGCTGTTGACTTGCTAGAGCGCGCACCGGTATCGTCTGGGGCAAGCGTTTGACTGCGCCCAAATAATTATGTTCTTTTCAGACCTTCTTTTCAGCCCCTCTTTTTGCACTTACAAAAATTGCGTCTCCGCATCTGTCTTCTTTCATTCTTCATCCCGCAGTTATACTCGTAATTTCTGGAGCATTTTAGACAAATTTTTATTGTTGCAAATCCTCTTTGATTTTGTCGATGCCGTTTTGACGTTCTCGTTGCCTTTGCCTATAGTTTCTCTTACGATTTGGGAAAGCGCGATAACCTTTTAACTCTCCAACTTCGCGTGCCTACTTCCAGTTCAACCGCAGAGGAAGAAACAATTTGTGGTTTCTGAAACAAGAGGTGAAAGTTTTCGAAATGGAATTACTTCAAGTATTATTTCATGCTATTTTGCCTCAAAGTTTTGTCTGAAAAGACCTTCCACAAAAAGCCCAAAGTCTTCTTTGTCCTCAACATTTGGAAAACACTGAAGACAGAGATGTTTTCTAGCGGTTCCAACTTCACTATAGTCATCTATCATTTCTTTGTTTAAATCTTTCGTTTTACTAACACTCGCGTATCTATCTATCTCCGCACTTGTAACTGCTGTTCTTTCTTTTTGAAAATCATTTGTTAAGCTTTTTCTCGCAGAAGTCTTATGTACTGTGGACTCGGTATACTCCACGAGGCAGCTGTCAACAGGAGGCCTCGCCTTCTGTACTTTTCTATTACATTCCTGCTGACTTTTGATGTTGTGTAAACTTTCCAAGAATGTCTTTTTGTCCTTGTTCAGTTGGCTTGCCAGTAGTTGAAGCTCTTTTCTCCCTTTCCCATTACCTTTGATTGGGAAGAAACAAGGCAGAAACAATGAAACTGACTAAAAAGATTAAAATGGTGAAGAAACAATGATAAAGCTGATACAAATATGATAAACATAAGAGAGCTAATCCGTGAAGCAGGCAATTCGGTTGGAGCAACGTGGAAACGTTAGGTGGGGGAGAGAAAAAAATAATAAAATACAAATAAGGGAAGAGGGGTGGAGAGTGGTGGTGGTGGGAGGGGTGGGTGCAGCTGAACTCATGGACAATGTTTTGTGTAATTACATTTTGTCAGTTTGAAATGTAAATCAATGGTGTGAAATATTTCTGAACCCTGAACCTCAATCAGGAAGGCAGCATGGCCGAGTGGTTAAAGTACTGGACTTGTAATCCGGAGACCCTGAGTTCTTTGTTGTCTTTTTCTCCTGTGTTCAGATCCTCGGCCACATTTATAAAATAACCAACTGGGTCATCTCTTACCAGCTCGGATTTTTAACCTTGTTGATATGTTGCATTTGAATTATTAGTTTCATTATCCCTGAAAAGTCCCATACTGGGAGAAGATTATTTAGTATGTTCATTAATAATAATAGTTACTTGACACAGCTGACAGTTCTTGGCTGAGAAGATAATGTTACTGCTATCTTGAATCACGAGAACTAACCTTTTGCCTCTGTGATGGCCTTAGTAATATATTTCCTAAGAACTTGATCAGTTTGATAAATGATGCTTGTTATGCAGGCCATTCTTGACTTCTCCTGTCAAATAAGTTTGAATAAAATTAATGATTATCTAAAGTAAAAATGACAAAAAATTACTGCTAAATTAAGACTAACAGTGCTCAAAAGGCCATTTCCGGGTAATATGTTCCAAAAGCTCTCACTTTGAAAAGTAGGCCAAGAGCAAAAACTTTCTTGTGAAAATCAATTTTATTTGCATCGGAATAAAAAATCATTTTCATATCAGTGGCTTTGCACATAGTCTCGCTTTAAAACAGAGGATTGAGGCAACTCGGAAATGGCCTAATCTCCCTCGCAGCCATTTTTGTCTCGTCACGTAATGCTCCTGGGGAGGAGCGTTGTGTGACAAGACAAAAACGGCTGCGAGGGAGACTAGAAATGGCCTTAATTTAAAAAACATAACCATCCCCGCAGGAGGTAGGCAAAGGTTTACAAAGTCCTCCTCCGGTTCTTAGCAATATTTCTGTCGGCAAAAGGGTCACTGGTAGAAGGGCTGTGGTTCCACATTGATTTTTATGGGCAATTCAAGTGTGAAATAGGTTAAAATGCTTTATAGCTAGAGGGGGCTTAACCAATAACAGTGAAACCGCGATATAACAAACCTCTATACATGTATATTATAACAAAGTCCTCGGTAAAACAAATGATTTTTATTACCCCAGTAATAGTAAAATATATGGAAAATAACCTCGATATAATGAAACCTCGTTATCAAGAACATATTTTTCAAATCCCTTGGCTCTTTATTATATCAAGGTTCCACTGAACTGACCTTCTCTTCAGAGTCTTCTTCCACAGCCTGTATGAAGGGACTCTTCATAGCTTTTAATACAAGCTGAATAACATATTCCCTGGTATAGAAATATACAGACTTATAGGTGTACATGTAATAATTTAAGTACGTTTTACCACCATTTATAATTTATTACAGTTGAACCCCAGACACCCGCTTAATACGGCCACCTCATTATAAGGAAGAGTTTCCCTTGCCCGCCGAGCCCTTACATTTTTCTCTAAATTTAACCTGCTTAATACAGACACCCCGTCAATATGGAAACTCTCTATGGCCCCCTCATCAGTGTCCATATTGACTGTATTTTAGACAATGGTAACGAAAAAAGCCAAACAGCTTATCAGGATACGTGTAGGAATAATTTTCTTATGTAACCACAGTAAGAATTAAAGTCAAGAATGACTCAAGTTGGAGTATTCACTCAACAAAAAAAGGCTGTTCAGTGTTTTTGTAAATGGACCAGTCACTAGTATCTTTCTGGATCTAAGTCCTTTCTCATTCTCAGAGAAATACCAAATACTTCTCATAGACTCAGCTACAATGAATCAGCCAGTGAACATGAAGATAATTGCAGTAACAAAGTTACATTTACAGTATATTTAAATGTGTCTTTTCCTTTTATTACCCTAAGTGCAAGTCTTGGAAGTTCTCAAGTGATCCTGACTGTACAATCAATGTCACCATTACCCACTTACATTGTTTCAGCTTTAAGTTCTCCTTCAGTTTTCAAAGTAAGGTAATGCTGCTCCCAGGGAAACTTTTCAGGATCTGGAGGTTCCATTTTACTGGACATGGTCATCATAGTTTGTGAGGATACAGGATGGGTTCTTAAGCTGTTTCGCTGCATGGCAATTTCTAGTGGACATTCCAAGAAAACTTCTGCAAGCCCAGCACTGTCTTCCTTAAAACAAACTGGCTTATTAATAAAATACTGGAATAACAATATTTAACAAAATAATAAATTACCCTTGTTTACCCTCAGCAGTTAGCATAGTCAAACTGTCAGTAGTATTACTGCATAGCCAAAAAAAGTGGCCATAATAAAGAGGTGACAATGTTACTGAGGTACCTGTAAGGCAGGGTTCCACTGTAATTAGGTGTACTGGTATTTCAACTTCATTGTGAGTGTTGTGAATAGTTTATTGGTATTTGGTAGTTACAAAAAAACTACTCACATTTCCTTGCCAGCTGAACGTATTCATACCGCATACTGTGGTAATAAAAGTTGTCATCCAGTAATAACACATGAGTACCATTCCAACTGTAAAATAAATAAATTATGATATGGTGTGTAAATATAAATTTCTACACCAATTGAACACTAATGACTATGATTTATTAGTTTTGGACAAAATTCAAGAACTTGTCAGTTGCAAGCAAATATATGATGGGATCTAACTCGGAAAAGAAACTTGCTGAGTTGACACGAGGGGAATTAACATAATTTAGTTTATTCCATAACCATCCAGAATACTGGTTTGAATGCTCTTACCACAGAGCTGTGGGAAACCTGAGTCGTGAGCAAGGTTAAGGTTTTCAATCTGTAAAAGGTCAGATTTACTTCTTGCACAAAAGGCAATTTCTGAGTTGTCCCATGCCTCTTTCTCAAAATGAGGGGAAGTGCAATGTCTCTGTTAATTGAAAGTAATAATGTTTATCCTTGTGTGAACAGAAAATGTGTTCTTAAAAATTAGACTCATTGTGAAAGTAAAGGGTTTTGGAACCATGAAATGCTCTATTGCATAATATCCTCCAGCTCCTCCTGCCTCCCCCCCGCCCTATTCTCCCACCCCTTCACCCAGCTCCATCCACCTTATGAAGTGTATTACTGATTTTCAGTCACATGACAAGGTGACTATGTTTGTTGATGAAACAGTAATCCTTTTTCACAGAATTCACATGAAAAAAGAGCTTAGTTCATACCAAAGGGAAACGTGCAAGTAATGAAAATCCCCTTGAAACGAAATGTCTCCTTTTTATTGACTTACGGGCTCGTTTTACTACTCAAATACGCTGTTGTGTTGTTTACACATGCGGTTTACATCTTACATCTTACTCTTTTTTGTTCATTCCTTTTTTACTATTTTCTGTATTATTCTCACTTGAATCTACCATAAATTACAGTACCAGTACAGTGTATTTGCACTTTTTTCGTTCTTTGTTGTCAAACATACAACATTAATTTTTCATCACATTGAACTTGTCATTTTGCTCGCGCACCTCCTTCTTTTCCTCTATAGAGCAATGGTCCCCTAATTGTAACGACAAAACGTTTTTGTTCTTGTGCACCAGCGCACGGCCGCCGTGAAATTAGCTGAAAACCAACCATGACAGGGAGCCCTTACAATTACCCTTACCTGCACTCAGCTGAAATGAAACAAGAGCAGTTTATTTTCTGGCTTTTTTGCAAGATGCTCCAAAACTCATCAACAGAGGGAAAACCGTCTACCATTTGATCATCTATAGACGCATTTTCGTGCTGATTTTCTATCATGTTTAAAGCCCGGTCCACTGTTTCAAATACGATCTTTCTGTACTGCTTCCATAAAGAATACTTTAAAAAACCATTAGCACCATCAAATAACGGAGTATTACTTTCTTCTTCACTGCTGTTTTCATGAACTAAGTCATCATTTCGAGATACATACACCGCGCCTTCGTTCAATTCCAAATCAAAAGGAATGAAATCATCATAACAAACGTGTATAACGTGCATTGTATTCCCTCTTGTTTTTTTCACATAATCCTGTAGTTTTGACGCAAGAGTAGACTTCCCAGATGCTGGAATTCCACAAAGTAAAACCAACGCTATGCGACAGCTTTCGTCCGCCATGTTGAAGCGCAACCCGAGAGGAACTGGTGCCAGTTTTCCCATACTTCTTTGCCGGTTGATTCATAAACTCACGTGACTTGTGTGATGTCCCTTCAAAATAATTCAAGATGGCGAGCTACGGTTCAGCAAAAGCTGTGGCAGTCGTTCCTGTTATCGTTGTAACGGCCGTATGGGTCATTGTAGGTGGTGTTATTCCTTTCTTTATCAAAGGACAGAATAAGAGGTAATAGGGCAAGGGTAAAGTAGTCTTCAAGTTGCTAGAATAATGCTACTGAGCTTAATGTAATCTCAATATGTAGTTTTCTCGTACTCAGCGTACTTCATGAAGGAGATGATAATTTAAGAACACTTTTTGTAACTAATGGGGAGCGTGGAAAACAAGACTTGTTCACAAAAATTTTGTAAAAAAGGTTGAGTTGCCTCTGATAGATTTTCTGTGGATTTGAAGGCTAAACTGTCATCATCATTTTTATTTGATACAAACAAAATGAAAAGTAGCTAGGTTGAGTTTGATCATCCGGGTGAACGTAGTCCTGGATAGGTTTGTTGTTGTTGACAGTGACTGGCGTTTCAAAAACCTGTGCGGTAGTCCAGGTTGTTGAGTACCTGTGCGGTAGTCCAGGTTGTCGGTACTTGAGCTAGCAAGTTATACATATAAGGCTGCTTGAAATACAGGGCTTGAAATAATTTCCCGGCTTGTCTGGAAAATTTTCAACCAATCAGAAGCTCTATATGTACCAAGGTCTGGGTAGTGAGACATCACCAGCATCAATATGCAATTTCTGCGCTTGCATCTTAGACATCAATATGAGGGGAAACTGTTGGATGCATCGCCAAGTGTCAGCTGTCCTCTCTGGCTATCCAGAGAATTGATCTGGCCGCCCTAATTTGGGTACGCTGGAGGACGAATCGGTTAGTCTCGAATAGGTGAATTGGGACATTCGGGGTTATAGGTGTTTTTTTAAGAGGTTTGACTAGAGATATGTAAAGGAATGTCTTAATCAACCCTCTTATTGATAAAAGGTCAGAGATTTTCCCTTTGTGATCATTTGATTAATTCTCATAGGTGTTGCACTTGACAATCTATGGATATTGTTAGGAGAAAATTGATGTTGGTTACTATTGGGACTTAAAGGGTTAAGCGAACTGTGTGCAGGGTTTAACAAAAGTGCTGTCTGCCAGGAGCAACCTGTCAAGCAGCATGGTTTAAAAAGACGCTCTAAAAGCATTGACTCAACCTTGCTTGGAGGCAAGATAAGAAATGAGGAGGCAATGAATTCTTAAGGAGCCTCTGTGTACAGGCATGAAAGCCATAGGGACCATTTGAGAGAGGGCAGAAAGTTAATAAAACTGCTAGCTAGCCAGGTTACACAGTAACCATTGACTGCCTTTGGTACATACAGTAGTCAGAAACTTAGCATACCTTCCATTTTAAAACTGGAAAAAGATTATAATATTACAATTGTGCTCATTTGCTAACCATTAATTATTATATGGGTAAACCTTAATAAAAACTGTAAGATTGCTTACATTTTCATCATCTTTTTACGATGCTAAATGTTGGCAATGAACAGAAACATACTAGTCTAAGCTACTAAAAACGGATACTAAAAAAATGTAATAATTATAAATAATCTAAAGTGAAAATTTCCAAAGATGTGGGCAATTATATGGTAATTTCATGGAATCTTCCACAATCAAAGGCAATACAAGCCAAACACATGGTCTAAAAGATGCATCCAGAAATGACTAGTATTTGCACTTTTTTCATTCTTTGTTGTCGAACATAATTATGACATTGTTTTTTCATCACATTGAACTTGTCATTTGGCTCGCACACCTCTTTTCTTCTATAGAGAGATGGTCCCCTAACAGTAATGAAAAAAGATAACGACTATTGGTGCTATGCAAGATCAAGTAATTATTACCAGTTGTCAGACAGGCAGGAAACATTTGCCAAGATAAAGTGAATGCTAGTGAAAAAGGGGTTTCTATATGAGTGGTTACGTTGTGCGATTGGTTCAAGTGGTGAATGTGATATGTTTGAGTAATATAAAGTGAAGACTCATATGAGTCGTACATGTATCACTTGCCAGGGCCTTCCTCTCAATAACTTTGCTCCCAAATTCTTAGTGTCTCGAATGAGATGCTATTTCACCAGTTGCATGACTTGTACAAGTCGTACCACTTGACAGGACCCCCCTTTCAACAACTTTGCTCATAAATTCTAAGTGTCTCTAATAAGATGTGAGTCCATCAATTGCATGTGCAAATGAGTTGCAGTTTGACAATGTGATACCTCATATTAGTAAAAACTGAATCAGTGTAGGATAATGCAATTTTAGAGTTTGGATTAGCTTAGCCATCATGGTATATGAGCCATTATACCAGGCTCTCTAAATAATTATGGTAACTGTACGGATCTGCTCAAAAATTAAAAACAAGCTGAAAATCAGTTGTTTTTACAAATGAAGTCACGAAAAATTTGCAATATTTTGCGGGTGTTTTGAATAAAACAATAATATTATTCCACCTGCACTTGTTGGATATAAGATGGTTATGGCCAACTCGGCGCTATGTGCCTCATTGGCTATCTAACATCTCATATCCAATGCACACTCATGGAATTATCAGTCTGAAATATCACCCATTTACCACCTGTACTAATCACATGAATTCAAAGGGTAATCTCACCACTTTATCACTTGTACAAGTTGAAACACACACAACATGACTTTCTCGACTGAATAAGTGGTGAGTTTTTGGACAATCCTTGTACCTTGCAAAGTTTAGGGAATAAGCTTCACCCCCCTCCTAAAAAAAAACAAAGAAAGAATAATCACTTGGGGTGGATTCAAAGCTGGGATTGCTGGCATGCAAGGCCAATGTTAGTCTGCAAGCCCATGAAGAACTACATTGAGCCCAATAATAAGAGCAAATCAGAATTACACAGTTTTCTTATTGGGGTTGAAACAGTTGGTCTTTAGACATTGTTTGATATAAATTTGTCCGTGTCGGAAAAAATCCTGCATGCTCTCAGACATGAGGACTAGACAGATCAAATATTAAAGATTATCATTCTGAAGCTGAATATTTGAAAACCACATTATAAAGGAATACAACTCATCCTATGCGAGGCAGAGTTTCTGGCTTGTCCAACTACAATTTATTGTGGCTTGGTCGGAAATATGTCCAAGAGTGCAATGATGTTGTTACGAGCACAACTTCGATTTTCAACTTTTTCTTGTTCTTTAAGAAACAAAAATTATTTACCACTCTGGTTTATGGGGAAATGTGATATTCGCAAGGATAACAACAGACTTGTGCTTTCTTTGTCATTTCAGACTTATACAGACCATGCTTGTATTGACTGCTGTATGCTGTTGGTTATTGTATCCTTTCATATTTTTAGGTTCATGTTACATATAATAGAATGCTTCATGAAAGGTTCCTGCATTGAGTATTATTTATACACAAGTTGGTGACATTACAAATCACAATGATGAATGAAATGTTGAGGTGAAATGTTGGTGACAGCTGTGTAAGTGGCCTGGCTTTGCTAACTACTGTTACAGTAGGACTTTTTTTCCTTAACTTGAATGTAAGCTGGGTTTGTGCTTATTTCTGTCAACTTAATCCTCTTATTGGACCAGAACTGTCATTAGAAGCACTAAAGGCAGCTGTGAAGGAATGGGGAGGCAGAACTGTGTAGGAAAATATTTCAATCGTGTAACAGAAAAAGTAAGTACATGACTTTTGCACTTTAGTTCACTAAATTAGCATCCTTGTATAGGGTAACAGAGGATATTGAAGGGGATTTTGAATACAACCATCTGCAGCCTTGCAAGTCCACTGAGTTTCAGTACACGTGACTGTGGTCCTGATCGGCATTGTTAATGACAATGACTGATGATGTTGCAGCCACCTTCGACCCAGTCCACCTTTATGAATCTAGTCTGGATGACCAGATTAAGTTAAGCCTTTAAGCCCCAGTATCCATGTGCAAATTCTCCAGAATATATATTTTCTGAAAGGATTTGTTAAGAGAATTTAATATGTGATCAAAGCATTTTGCTGCACCATGGTATTTTGTAGAATGCTGAATGACTCTGAAGTTTAGTGATCAGGGTTAGGAAACTGAGTGATTCAGGTTCCATTTAGAGTCATTATGCTGGGAAAACCGACCTGAAACTTGATTCACCCAGTTTTCTAACCCTAATCGATCGATAAACTTCAGGAGTCATTCAGCATTGGCGTTCGGCATTCTGCAAAATACCCTTTTATGCTGATTTTCCCATTGATTTTTTCCTGTTAATTTTATTAATTCTCGTCACATTTTCTCTTGATAATGTATGGATAATGTTGGGAGCAAATTCATTTTGGTCACTTGTGGGACTTAAAAAAAGTTTAAAAAACTGTAGGAGACCATTGACGTACATTTAGTGGCATGTAAGAAGATTTCCTACCCCAACCAACCATAACATGTGGCATCGTGGGGTTTTGTACAGGTAGCACACATGTTTATAACTTGATTGAGCTCCTTGGGTTGCACATGTGTTTATACTTAATCTTGGACCTCTCAGACCTCTGTCAGACCGCACAGTTTCTTTTGTCTGTTCGTTATTACTGTGAAACTTGGGTCTCAGAAATACCAGAAATATTTCTGGAATGTTATTGTGTTGCAAGGAAAAAGCCAATTAGGAGTGGGAAACTCTTTAAACCACAAGCATCAATGGTGATTAGTATTTTGTTGCTTGCTCACATGTTCTGATCTATTTTTTAATATTGATACACTATAGCACATTCAATAAGCAATCATGAAATATTCCAGTTGTTCATGGATGTCTAAGTTTGGCAGTAATGTAAATAGGGGTATATAATAAACAATTATTGGATGAGATTGAGCATGATATCATGAATTATCAAAACCGAGGTCTGTGTTATCTGCCGAAGCCGAAGGCTGAGGCAGATAATAGAGACACGAGGTTTTGATAATCCATGATATCATGCGAAAACCGAATTCAATAATTGTTTTATTATACATTTTTTAAGCAATAGGCAAAAGAAGACCATTCAGCCATTCTGTTTCTGAGGAGAACACTCCAAGGGGCTTGGTAACCAGGCAGACGTTGAACTTGATATGATAAATGCAATATCTGCAGCAGATACTGCATTTATCATGTCAAGTTCACAAGCTATTGTGAATTGATTGAATGCTCTCGACCAATCAGATTTTTCATAGTGAGTCTGATGTACAATAATATTATTTAAAACATTACCTTTTGCTTATGATGACAGTTTTTTACTGTTATGTTTCTCTTTCTGCAGGAAGGATACTGAAATATGGATTACACATGTAAATTCTCTAAATTATCATTGGCACAGACAGCTGAAAAATGAGTAGTCAAGTGTAATAATTAATATGACCCACATATTGTTATTACTTCTGTCAGCAAGTAGCAGCAATACTTTGCCTACCCTGCAAGCAGTGGTTTCTCACTTGAAGCCATTAAGACAGACAAGCCACAGGAATGACTTCGTAAATGCTTTAAAAAGCCATGCAAGTGAGAAACCTCTGCTCGCAGCGTATTCTTTGCCTAATTTTCATGTCTTACGGAATCATACTTGACTTGTTATGCAATCTAATGAAGTTGTATTATTATTAATTAGTTGATTACAAAAGTTTCAAATTAAAACAATCAAATACTACTATGAATCCATTAGGGGACACTGCAGAAAGTTCTGAGCAAAACATTTTCGTTTTATGGATAAAAGATTTAAGGTTTTCTTACTTAAAATGTGGTGATTTAAAGGCTATTAAGTCTTGTCCACAAAAAAGTTGAAATCACAGAACATAACCAAGAAACGGGGCCTTCAAAGTAAGGCTAAGTGGAAAAGAAAGAAAAAAGTTAGGAAACGACTCTTATTAAGGAAAATGTGATATAAAAATATCCTTATTGTGAAATTTAATTTTAGCAATTGTCTGTAAGGGCATATCTATCATTGTAGATCCCTTTCAGTTTCAGTAATTAAGTTGTAATGAGCATTGTTGTATACAGCCTGAATTTTCTTTCCTTTTTGTCTTGAAATGTTCATTGATGACTTTAATAAAATTCAGTTCTTACAAGTTGGCTTTCTGGTTGTTGAAAGTTACAGTTATGCATTTAATGGGCTGGATATTTGCAACAGCAGGCGAGAAGCATTAAACATAGTCACTGATGGAATTTTATGCTGCGATTAGATCAAATCACTAGTACCATCCAGATGTGATGCCCATTCAGTACATTATTCTTGGCAATAGAAAGTTAATAATTTTGTATGTGGTTTTTTGTTGTTGTTGTTTTAATTGTTACAGCTCTTTTATTTATTATATTATTTTATTTTAGGAACGCAACATTGGTGTTTCATTTTGTACTCCCTGTAAAGTAGCCTACGGTTCATTTTTTTAATTACCAATATAATGCTGCTTGTGCTTATTTTTCTTATTTTATAAGGTGATGCCAGTTCCATAGGCTGGTTTATTCATCTGTTTTGAAAATATAGCTCATACAGGGACCTGAAAATGTATGTATCTTTGTTTGTCCATTTCAGTTGAAGGGGAGTTGTTAGTTAGTCACCTACCCAGTAGACTAGGGGAGTTGGGCAGGTTCAGGTTTGTAGAGGTTCAGCTGGCAAACTTGCACCGTTTGTGCCATAGGTGCGAACATTGAGTGCTTGAGGCACCAACTTCTAGCGGGGTCTGGGGGCATGTTTCCCTCCAAATTTTTAAAATTGGACTCTCCAAAATGCCATTTCCTGTGTTTCTCTAGACTAGAATTGGTTAACTGGCTTCCGTATTTTTAACAAGTGTTTTTTACTTTATGGACTTACCCTTAATATGAAAAACCAAACGTCAGTCACAAGCAAGAAGTCAACTAAGGTTTTACTACACTTACTACTTATTACTAAAATAATATATAGACAGGAATTATCTTCTTTTTTTTATTGTATGCATTACATAATGGAGTGAGTAAAGTAAGGATCATATCTGTCTTTGATGAACAAAATATGAAAAAGAGGAACGATTTTAACACTTAAAAAAATAATCTCATGTGTGAACTACGGACATTACATGTCAAGCCACTGGACGTTGTGTCCGGCATCTGGCCTCATATGAAACCCCTGGTTGGACCAATAAGGTGGAAGTTCCAAGGGGCCAATGAGTTTCTGGCATCTTAAAGCTACATTTACTCAAGGTCAAACAATAGCAACCGAATCATTTTCTCAGGCGTGTGAAAGCGAAACATTTTAAATGTTTCTGACATAGGAATGTTGCTTTGAAAATGTTCTTATGAGCTGCCTCAAGAAAAAGAAAAAAAAATTGACAACCAATAGATTATATTGCTTGATTAAATTTTATTTTGTCTTTGTAGTTTTATAACTCCAGGGCTTCTTCTTAACACCTCAACATACTTGCTATGAATATTTTGTTGAGGAAGAATACATTTTTGTGTAATTTTAATAACAGATCCTAGCCTTCCACGCAGACATCCTTACGGCTTTGTCACACTTTCCTTCCCCAAGAACGTCTGTTGAAAGAGCTGTTAAGCTCAGTGAGATTGGCTACGATCTTACCTTACAGACCGTACTCAGCTTGTGAAGGTAGACGACGCTTCATCCATGGTACGAACCCTTCATTGGGGTGTGCCTCAAGGTTCGGTCCTAGGCCCCATGCTTTACTTTGTTATAAACATCTCCTCTGTGTGATATTGTTCGTGAGCATGGCTTGTCATTTCACTTTTATGCTAATGACTCGCAGCTTTATACATCTTTTGCTTGCAATGACACCTCTGATCTAGTGGCTGCAAAACAACGCCTTGAGAACTGCGTTGCAGACATCAATAACTAATTGTGGATGACTGCCAACAAGTTAAAGCTTAACAATGATAAATCAGAATTTCTCTTTCTGCACTCCCGTTTTCATCATTCGTTGCCCCCTCCCACGATTTCTGTTGGCATGGAAAACATCAGGCCCTCTCAACAGGCTCGCAATCTTGGCGTGATTTTTGACGACACAATGTCACTTTCACCTCATGTTAATACAATAGTTAAGGGTGCCTTCTGTCACACCCGAAATATTTCTAAAATAAGAAAATACATCAGTAAAAATACCACAGAAATTCTAATTCACAGTTTTGTTAGCTCGAAGTTGGACTTTTGTAATTCTCTTCTTTTTGGTGCCCAAAAACAGGACATAGTTAAGTTGCAGTCCGTTCAGAATGCGGCTGCTCGAATTATCGCCGGTCTCAAAAAACAAGATCACATCGCTGAGTCTCTAAGAGATCTTCACTGGCTTCCTGGTGAGGAGAGAATTGTTTTTAAAATAAATTTAATAACTTTTAAAACATTGAATGGCTCCGGTCCCTGTTATCTTGAAGATATTTCAAAATTTTACCATCAATCAAGGACATTACGGTCATCAAGGGATCATTTACGCCTTGAAGAACCAAATTTTAACATGAAAACTTATGGCCAGCGAGCGTTTTCCGTTGCTGCCCCCGACTATGGAACAAGCTCCCCTTTGAAATTCAAGCTTGTTCTGATGTTAATCTTTTTAAATCTAAGTTGAAAACGTTTCTTTTTAAAAAGGTATATGACATTTAGTTTCATCATATTTGTTTGTTGTTTTTTTTTCCTTCCCTTTTTAAGATGTGTACGCTAAAAAGCCAAACATTCAGTTCCCAATATGTACAGTAGGGTTATATGTAAGCTTGTGCTTAATGATATTCTTATGTCCTTTTTTACATTGTAAAGCGCTTAGAACAGAGATGTATAAGCGCTATATAAATTCCATTATTATTATTATTATTATTATTAAATTTTTCAAGGTCAAAAGTGCACCTCCCATGTCTGGAGGTGCGCTGTGGTTGGACTGCATTTTTAACCACTTGTTTCAGCAGACATTTGTTAGGAAGGATTGTGTGAAGAGCCAAAAGAAAATCTGCGTGGGAGGCTAGACAGACCCTTTAAGCTGCCAATTAGTCCCCGGCCTTACTATGCCAGAGAACATTCATCTAATACACTTCAAATTCCAAATGTTTGGCTGTGAAACATGTCATATGTTATAAGTTATCATTATGTTGTCTTATGTTATATTTAATCATGTGTCCAAGCTTAGATGAAAAAGACAGCATAACACTGAAGTGCATAAAACCCTCAGAGTTGTCACAAATATATTTTGTGAAAACCATGCTAAAAAGATGTCAAATCTTTCTTGACAGAAAGTGGCAGACTTACAAGACTTCTCCATGAATGTCACAGATATTTCCCATGCAAAGATTTAGCCAATTTCAATAAATTATCCATCAAACAGTTTCTTGTTTATGATTTATCATATTACCATAAAATTTCGAAAATAAGCCCTGGGGCCTATATTTTTCAGAGGCCCTTTTTGAGGGGCTTATTTTTGGAGGGGCTTATATTCAGAGAGGCTTATCTACGAAGGGAAATTTGCGTTTCAAAATCAATTGGGCTAGCCTTATAAATGGAAGGAAATTTACCGTGTCTTCTTTGTTTTACTTTGTATTTGAGTGCAATTTCCGAGTACAAGCCTCCCGGGGGGCTTATATTTGGAGGCGTGATTTAACAGAGGGTTTTTTGCGTTATGAGTTTGGGGAGCTTATATTTGGAGGGGCTTATACATGGAGGGGCTTATTTTCGGAATTTTACGGTATATTGGTTATTTTTGTGGGACTGTCATTTCTGCAACACATACAGCTATAGTCTTTTAAATACACTGTAACTTTAAAATNGGAAGGATTGTGTGAAGAGCCAAAAGAAAATCTGCGTGGGAGGCTAGACAGACCCTTTAAGCTGCCAATTAGTCCCCGGCCTTACTATGCCAGAGAACATTCATCTAATACACTTCAAATTCCAAATGTTTGGCTGTGAAACATGTCATATGTTATAAGTTATCATTATGTTGTCTTATGTTATATTTAATCATGTGTCCAAGCTTAGATGAAAAAGACAGCATAACACTGAAGTGCATAAAACCCTCAGAGTTGTCACAAATATATTTTGTGAAAACCATGCTAAAAAGATGTCAAATCTTTCTTGACAGAAAGTGGCAGACTTACAAGACTTCTCCATGAATGTCACAGATATTTCCCATGCAAAGATTTAGCCAATTTCAATAAATTATCCATCAAACAGTTTCTTGTTTATGATTTATCATATTACCATAAAATTTCGAAAATAAGCCCTGGGGCCTATATTTTTCAGAGGCCCTTTTTGAGGGGCTTATTTTTGGAGGGGCTTATATTCAGAGAGGCTTATCTACGAAGGGAAATTTGCGTTTCAAAATCAATTGGGCTAGCCTTATAAATGGAAGGAAATTTACCGTGTTTTCTTTGTTTTACTTTGTATTTGAGTGCAATTTCCGAGTACAAGCCTCCCGGGGGGCTTATATTTGGAGGCGTGATTTAACAGAGGGTTTTTTGCGTTATGAGTTTGGGGAGCTTATATTTGGAGGGGCTTATACATGGAGGGGCTTATTTTCGGAATTTTACGGTATATTGGTTATTTTTGTGGGACTGTCATTTCTGCAACACATACAGCTATAGTCTTTTAAATACACTGTAACTTTAAAATAATATTCAACTGTTTTGATAAAATATCTTGATTTAAAACACCTCTCATTCTATTTACTATAGTGAAATCACCTGAAAAACAGCCCTCTGTAGCCTGACAACATAACTATATAATAAACAACACCAAATACGAAACCACCAAGGTGTGCAGCATGACCAATTCCATGTGTCTGATAAGCCATAAGAGAATCAATAATTCCTTTGCCAGACTCTGCACTAGCAAGTAAGGGCAACAAATCATTGATTACGATTCCAACTACCAGTCCTAAATGGCACACTTCATATATTACTTGCTGCATTACACGAGTGTCCCACTCTTGATTGGCTCTTCCCATCCTTCGTCTTCTCCTCAGTTCCATGTACTTGTCATATAATGAAACAACACTGACACAAGTTTCAACAGCAATTATTGAGCACACTGCAGCACTAGCACCGATGCACGGAGCATTCCCATACACTGAAGTGTAGATTTTATCCATTGCCATAGTCTGAATGGTTTCAGCTTTACTTCCGAAATAATCTCCAAGAATTCCCCATGACTTTGGAGATGGTAGAAAATTGTCCCATCTCATTTGATGAAAAATGTAAAAACAAAGTTGAGAAAGATTTCCTGCCACTCCTCCCCCAAGAAATACACCTAACAAGTGCATGCGACCAAATCTCCTGTGGATGCGATATCCATCTGGTAAGAGTACCCCCAAGTTGCTCATTTCTACAACAAGTAGACACTTTCCATATCACCATAATTGTTATACCAGTTTCGACCAGACAAGTTCCTGTTAGAGCATTCGTTAGTCATTCCGGTGGAACTCCGGGACGGTCCCCCACCAGGGTACAGCGGCGTCTGAATTTTAAAACGTCTCGTGTCGGGGTTTATAAATGCTTGTCGCTTACTGTCGGCTTAGCCGTCACTGTCGCAATTTGGCAGAGGGAGATTGTCTCTTGTCGCGATTTCGTTTTACGTGCTGTTGCTACGTTTTGGGCCATGTCACTTGTCGAAATTTACCCTGGCAGGGCCTCCACCTTGACAAATTTGAATAATAATTTATTATTGAACTTTCCATAAACTGTATTTTTCATTCCTGTGAGGCCTGGTACAAAATAATGTACTATCATTGTACCAAACTCAAAAGAATATTAAAATAAGCTTGAGACAAATTTGGTTAATATACAGTTGATTCAAACATCAAGGTTAGTATAATTTGTGATAACTTCAAGGCGACAATTTATCATATATTATTAATTAATATATATGATGGCTCGTTGCATTGCGTTCAGCACAAGGTACTTGGCATGACGACTCAGACATCATGCCAATTTCAAACTTAATTTTAATACTTATAATAGGTTAAAGATGAGTTTGGTATGATAATTGAACCAGACTTAAGTGGACATTCTGATAATTAGAGTAAGGGTGATGCAGTGGTGAGAGCATCTCACCTCCCATCAGTGTGCCCTGGATTCAAGTCCCAATGTTGATGCAATCATTCTTGAAATTTAGACTGGGAATTTCTTGGGTTTATATCGAAATTCGTTGTATTGCACTGTGCGTTTTGCAAACTTTGAAGGATTTTTGGGTTTTCTCTTCCGTCAATCATCTTAGCGGACCTCTTAGGAAACACATGTTTAGGTCACGGTTTGTGATTCGCGATTGGTGGATTTTGATCCGTTTTGTTTCGTGTTCAAGGTTCGTTGCTTTGTGATCGTCCTGTTTCAGGCAATGATCGACTAGTTAAGTTTGCCTCGCAGATTTTTCTGATCTTTCTCATTCTTGTCACTTGCAAGAATAAATCAATGTTTGCTTCCTTCCTTCAACAAAAAATCTTCTCACCATCGCAATTTCCTTCGCTATTATTGAACAGTCTAGAGTCATTCTTAACCAAGCTGGGAGAGCATGTTATTGTGATTTCTATTAACCTTGCCTTCACTAAAATGATTGACAGAACAGAAAACCCAAAATCCCTTCGAAGTTTGCAATACGCGCAGCACGATACAACGAATTTTGCTGTAATTTAGGTTCACGGGAAAGTTTGGGTGTCACTTCCGATTTCAAGGACCTTTTTGGCTTTAATTTATGACCCCACTGATACCTCCCTGGGCCCTCACACTTTTGATGAAGTCAATTTAGACTCTTTTCTAAGCTCACAACCACAAGTATTGTCTTCCTGCTAAACACGCTCCATCTGATACTTGGATAATTACAAAATCCTTAAAATATTGGCCTTGATTAATAGATAAATTATTTGCCATGATCTATTTAATAATGCACCGATCAACTTCAACATTACGCCCACCCTGCTAGGGGATGTTGACGTTTTGAATTGATCGGCGAATAAGCGAGTTGAAATTAGGCCTGCTACTATCTGTAGTTAAATGACACTCAGCCTTACCGGCATGATGAAAAAGATTAGTGACGACCGTGTGATAACGTCCTTGATTGAGATTTTCGGGCGAGAAAGAAAAGTGCTTGTTCAAGGTCACCGCAGACATGTTGAAGGGGAAACCAAGATACTGAAGTTGAGCAAGAGGGGACTTTGGTGATACTCGAGAAACAAGGCATGGCAACTGTAAACCCACAAGACCCGCTAAAGTGATAGCACAATCTTTAAATTCCTCAAAAGTTGGTCCTTCCATCTCAACTAGCTCAGGAAACAAGACTCGACAGGCGTTACGTCGTTAACCGCCAAAGCCTGGTAACAAGCAAGGCCAAATTTGGGGAAGTTGGGGGGATTGTTGGGGGTCGGGGGGGATGGCCAAAGACGAATTTTAGCCTTTTTTTTTATAAAGGCCCAGTAAATTCCTAGCGTCACCACCGCCGCCAAGATCTTAGGGGGCCGGGGGAGGGGGTTAAAATCCCGAGCAGTACTGCTATACTTCCCCGTATAGAAGGGTATGAGTATCTGGGGAGGTCCTGGAGTAAACCCCTCGGAAGTCCTAGTTTCACGGCTAAATGATGAGAAACAAAGATTGTTTGCGCCAAGTTGAAAGAAAATGCGATAAAAAGAAATAGATCGAGTTACAAAGAGGCTCGCTCGGATTTTTTAATATAACCGAAACTTTGCATTGCACCAAGGTAGAGTGGCGTGGACTGAACAGCTGAACTAGACAAAACAGCGAACCGATTTTGTGGGACTAACTGAACGATCCGCAAATAATACGTGACAAACGTGCAGCAGTTTTAGAAGAAGGCGGCTTAAAACCAAGCCCCCGAAACGCCCCTTAATCCGCTCCAGTTGTTCTTGTTGTTTTTGGCGATCCATGTTTTTGCTGCACGAGCACAAACGCAGACTTTTCTTGGGTACTTATACCAGAACATTCTCAAATCTTGCGCAAACGCAGGTCGCGACGAAGCCTCTCAACTAAAATCATTCGTTAAGTTCTGCAGAAAAAGACAGAAAAATAAAAGAGAGAAAGAACCGACTTGTCTAAGAATACCAACCCTCTATCAATCTCTCTTAAAAGCCTCTTAAGACATGTTTTAAAATAGTAACAAAACTAATACGTTTCGTCTCTCACGTCTCGACCTCTGCGGTGTAACTGGATCAAAAAGCAAGTGGGGTCGAGATACATTGGAAAGGGTCGTTGTAACTTCAGGAATATCAGATGTCCAATAGTTGAAAAATATTCGTTTAGTATGTTAGCAATAAGTTTCATCAGACAGGGCACTATGTTCACCAGAGCGAGTTAAATGTTTTTTTAAATCACAGCTTTTGCTTTCGGGATACTAAATATTTTCCTTATACTCCATACCCTAATGCCCTGATTTTCGTCTTAGCGTGATTGAGACCTTGCACCCTGATAAATATTGGTTATCACCTACCAGAAAAAAACAAAAAACAAAAAAAAAAAGTCAGAGGTATATTGGCAAACAAACAAAACAAATAGTTGCACGCACCCATTTCAGTGCAACCGCGCATGTGCAAATATTCAAAATTGCGATTAAAAGCAGATTCGCTTGCTGGGAGTTAATCATTTTGAACAAAACTAGCAGCGAACTACACGCTACACCAATAAACCATGAGCTCACAGAGACGTTTTCGTATTGGTCAATGGCTTCCTCCCGACAGGAGAATCATTGACCAATGGGTTGCAGGTGTCATCAAAGAGTGCCAAAGCGGTAAATACAAAGAAAAGTTAGACATGCTAATGGCTCTTCATCCACCAGCTCACGATGAAGACAAAGCCCTTGCTGGACTTCCACTTGCAGATACTAGAGCCAAATATACAGATAAAGATCTCTGTCTTCACAAACCAGTTGACGATTTGAAGAATGCCATTCTCACCGACCCCGAGATCAACATGTTTTTCCATCAGATGTTCTGGCAACAGTATCATCTCCCTGGTGATACGTCAGAAGGAACAAAAATTCCGTCCTGGCAGTTGATGATAATAATAATCGACTACATCATGACAATAGCTCCTAAGTTCAACAAGACTGGATTGGTTGGCTTCCCCATCAATGTCATCTTGAACTGGCCCATGGCTACCACCGCTGGATTTGCTGCCTTCCTGAACGACAAGGTCAACAGGTTGTTCAAGAATATTCTCAATTATTGGGCGAATTTTCTGTCCAGTCCAGATTCCTGCTATGTTTTGAGTGACGATCCTCGACATGGTTGGTTTGGTGAGGATGCAATGGAAGCAATGCCAAACTTTGTTGAGGAGTTTAAATGCGATCCAGATGCCCCTCATTATGGTTACAAGTCATGGGATGATTTTTTCACCAGAGAGTTTCGCCCTGGAATTCGCCCAGTAGAATGTCCTGACGATGATTACATTGTTGCCAACGCCTGTGAGTCGGCGCCTTACCAGATAGCTACATGCGTCAAAAAGAGGGACTACTTTTGGATTAAGAGGCAACTGTACTCCTTAGACTTCATGCTGAACATGAATCACCTGGCCTTGCAATTTCATGGCGGGACCGTCTACCAAGCGTTTCTCAGCGCCACCAGCTATCACCGATGGCACAGCCCAGTATCGGGTACCATCTTCAAGACAGAACTTGTTGATGGCTCTTACTACTCGCAGACCTATAACATTAAGGACGACCCCGCATCGCCCAACATGTCTCAAGGATACCTGGCCCAGGTAGCTGCCCGAGGGATAATCTACATTTTGGCTGATAATCCTGATATTGGATTGATGTGTTTCGTAGCAATCGGTATGTCAGAAGTGTCTTCCAACGATATCACTGTTAAAGAGGGAGAAAAAGTCAAGAAAGGAGACCAGCTCGGTATGTTCCACTTTGGTGGTTCCACCCACTGCCTGATTTTCCGACCTGAAGTGAAAATTGAGTTTGATACTCGTGGTCAAACACCAGGTCTGGATACCGACAATATTCCAGTAAGGGCCAAAATTGCGACTGTTCATCGCCAAACTGAGAAGAGCGGTGAATCTGACTAATCTGAAGAACATTGAACTGAGAGTATTCTGAAGAACATTGAACTGTGATTTCATATGCGTGTTGACATTTGAGTTATTTTTACTTATGTTGATCTTAATCCCACTGGTCTTCTGGAAAATTAAAGCGGCCACATTAGACCTTTAAAAGCTGTTAAGGCAATAATTTTTTTCGCATCATTTATCCAATTTCTTTGGTAGTTTTAAACATAATCGGGGTTTTGAGTGCACGCAGTGCAGCCAACCGAGTATTTTAATCCTTAAGATTTTGCCCGAAAATTGACTACAATTGTTTCACAGTGAAGGGTTAGAAATGAGACAATTGAGAAATAATCTTAGTTCATAGTCTGCAGCATTGACATAAACTCTTAGCTCACTACTTTGTTGCAAGCAGGAGGGAAAACTCTAGCCCAACGGGCTTTGGGTTTGCCGGAATTTTTCCGTTTATCTTTGAGCAGTCTTTTATGCAGATTTATATTACTTTAGTTATTTGCTTATCTATGTTGTCTAAAACATCCTCTTTGTGAGTTGAAAGGAAGTATGCACGCCCTAACTATAAAGCCGAAACCGACAATTTCAAAGTGTGATCATGCGTGAAGAACAGGATGAAGAGACTGATATATTGCAGATTTTATGTTAAAACTTGCAATATGCCGACTTTCCAGTTCAGTAATTAAAAGTAAGCTTGCGTGTTATGTGGAAATAAAGACTTTTGTCTTTAATAACTTATTGGGCTGTCTGATCCCGTGTACTCGATTTATTTGTGGATGATTTAAAATTTTAGCAAAGAAATCTCCATTCAGTTTTGTGCAGTCATGTGCACTTAAACAGGAAGGGTAATCCCAGGGGTGGGGGGTACTGCCATAGATGGGCTATATAAGTATGTGCCGCTGCGAAGGGTATGGTTTTCAAGCAGTTTGCTCTAGGATAGGGGATATAAATCAGAGCGTTTGGGTCTAGAAAAGGGTATCATTTTTCAGGAAACTGATCAGTTGGTTAAAGATTTTATCTAGACTAGGGATTGTGGTATAAGGTTTTGTTTTGGCTAGACTGTGCTAGTGACCTCAGTAGTTTCTGGAAAAACAGCCACTCTAGGATAGGGGGAACTTGGAGAGTTTACTCTAGTATAGGGTAGCAAAATTCAGCTGAACTAGTTCTAGCATACGTTAAGGGTTCCTGGGTCCCAGCGGCACATCCTCACCCAGAAATTCCTAAAGTACCACCTCCGGGGGGTAATCTAAACTAGCTTAAACTTGATCATGTTCAAAATTTGCTTCCTGCTAACCATTCACCTTTGAACCTTATATCCGTTTGATACAATTATTGATTCATTAAGAGTCACGGTTATACTTAGTTTAGTTTCATTCAATACGAGTGCATCAATGTCATCAACCACTAGGTTTCTTCTGTAGTTCGGCCGTGACTAGAAAACAAATTAAAGTAATTTACCATACGACACCAATATATTACTGAGAAAATAAAAAAGAGTAATCTTTATAACCTCAAAGGTATTTAAAAGACAGTCATCAAATCCCAAAAAGTAGATTAGTCTTAGATTAATGCCACTTAAATTTGCTTTTTTAATTTCTAGATTCCCTTTTTTCATTGCTGGATGTATCTTGCAAACCAAAAAAACCTCTCTAGCCAAACCAATCATTTTTTTTTTCTTTAAGTATATTTTTATAGGCTTCGGGTAAAGAGAAAATAGCTTGAGATCGTGTTGATATCAGCGTGTGTTATAATAATGCACGTCGTTTGATAGATTATTTGGTCGAACTTATTTTTTCTCGTCCACGTTGTACATCATGATGGACAATTGCCGCATTCTCACGGTAAATTGTAATGTACGTATATCCACAGAACGAACTTCACAACTTTGTATTGTTATTATTTGGCAAGCTTTGATTTGTATTTCGCGAGAGTTTTGTCATAAAATGCTATCTCAGCTCAACGTCAGCCCCCCTTTTGTATACCTAAATGATTTGAAAGAATGAGGTAAATATCTTTCAGAATAAAATTAATCTAAACAGTCAAATACTATACATTAGGACTGTGTATCTTATATTATCTCCGCATTATTTTGCATGAGAATCAAAGTCTTAAGTATCGAAATATGCTAACAAAATCGAATTCCAAACAACGCCTTTACTTGAAGAGCCCAATTCAAGAATGAACCTGATTGGGTCACTTCCAGTCACGGCAGCGTAAATCATCGTGTACCTAAACAACTCGGCAAATAACGTAAGTCTGATAACAGTTACGTTATTCAAACTATATTGCTGTTGCTTAAAGCCAAACGCTACAACTACAGACCAGTATGGTGTCGAAAGAAGAAACTGATACATTTTGCATGTTCTTTTCGAGCTATATGGGCCCTTATGATCGCTGGTGGGACCCCCCCATCCCTTTCTTTGAAGCAACGGGTTGACCGGACGGTCGATTACTTCCAATAATCTGCTTTCGCAACGAGCAGTTTCAGTTATCAATCACGGGAAGCACTATATTGGCGGCCACGAAATGCTGTGGACCTTTTTACACCAAAAAAAAATTAAATAACCTTTCGCTAAAACAAAAACACCATTTAATGGATCAAAGTATCAAGCTGACTGAATTAATTGAAACTGTCAAGTTTCATAGAAATCCTTCGCAAACTTTGATATTTCGGAATTATATGAAAAGCCCCATATCGTGTGACTGCAGTATTTATAAAGGAACGAATACCAGGGCAATGCTAATGCCCGACAGCATATCTTTCTAATGTAAATTTGGAGCCTTATATTTGTGGGAGAGTTTAAGGTTGATTTTTGCAAGCGCTTGCAGATTGACTAAATTCAGAATGATAAATTGATCTTAACAAGTACCTTTAGCTTACCATTTGGTGACACCGGTAAAGGGTCATTTCAGATCCTTGAAACTTGAAAAAAAGGAAAGATTCGAACTAGGATAGGAATTTGAACCATGTCCTCAAGACTTAGATCACTCAATGACTTTCTGAGTTGTTAAGTTGGTGTATGGTGGGTGAAGAAAACTCCCTCAAACACTATTGAGCTCACATGCCATTAGCGATATTAATTGCAAAGATGATTTTGTTAATGAGAGTGCGAAGCTAACTGCACGACGTTCGATCGATGAGATTCCAGACATTGACTCTGCTCCTTCTGTTTGGTCTACTTTAATAACTGACGTTCCTGACCGTCAAGTTAGTACCCATAAAGAAATAACTAGGAAAAGGATCACGAGGCAAGAGCTCCATGGTTGAGTAAAATCAGGACACCGGTCCGAAATCCATCAGAAAACCCCCCAAACATCCCCGGAACACCCCCGGAACGCCCCAAGAACACCCCCGGAACACCCCTGAAACACCCCCGAATCACCGGCATAACAACCCTATTAAGGTGACTCGACCCAGTTTTTTTTAGGGGGTACCATCCTACTTTGAAGCTCTCTGGTATCCCAACCTTTACTTTTATCGTAAGTATAACACATAGAATGGATAGAGTGGTTTTCGTTTGAGTGTCGTAAAACCAAAACCAAAGTAATTACTCTGGCCAATCACATAGGACACAGACAATACATTGAACCAATCAAAACTCGAAGTAATTACATGTGGCTGACGCAAAACAAAACTAGCAGCGAACTACACGCTACACCAATAAACCATGAGCTCACAGAGACGTTTTCGTATTGGTCAATGGCTTCCTCCCGACAGGAGAATCATTGACCAATGGGTTGCAGGTGTCATCAAAGAGTGCCAAAGCGGTAAATACAAAGAAAAGTTAGACATGCTAATGGCTCTTCATCCACCAGCTCACGATGAAGACAAAGCCCTTGCTGGACTTCCACTTGCAGATACTAGAGCCAAATATACAGATAAAGATCTCTGTCTTCACAAACCAGTTGACGATTTGAAGAATGCCATTCTCACCGACCCCGAGATCAACATGTTTTTCCATCAGATGTTCTGGCAACAGTATCATCTCCCTGGTGATACGTCAGAAGGAACAAAAATTCCGTCCTGGCAGTTGATGATAATAATAATCGACTACATCATGACAATAGCTCCTAAGTTCAACAAGACTGGATTGGTTGGCTTCCCCATCAATGTCATCTTGAACTGGCCCATGGCTACCACCGCTGGATTTGCTGCCTTCCTGAACGACAAGGTCAACAGGTTGTTCAAGAATATTCTCAATTATTGGGCGGATTTTCTGTCCAGTCCAGATTCCTGCTATGTTTTGAGTGACGATCCTCGACATGGTTGGTTTGGTGAGGATGCAATGGAAGCAATGCCAAACTTTGTTGAGGAGTTTAAATGCGATCCAGATGCCCCTCATTATGGTTACAAGTCATGGGATGATTTTTTCACCAGAGAGTTTCGCCCTGGAATTCGCCCAGTAGAATGTCCTGACGATGATTACATTGTTGCCAACGCCTGTGAGTCGGCGCCTTACCAGATAGCTACATGCGTCAAAAAGAGGGACTACTTTTGGATTAAGAGGCAACTGTACTCCTTAGACTTCATGCTGAACATGAATCACCTGGCCTTGCAATTTCATGGCGGGACCGTCTACCAAGCGTTTCTCAGCGCCACCAGCTATCACCGATGGCACAGCCCAGTATCGGGTACCATCTTCAAGACAGAACTTGTTGATGGCTCTTACTACTCGCAGACCTATAACATTAAGGACGACCCCGCATCGCCCAACATGTCTCAAGGATACCTGGCCCAGGTAGCTGCCCGAGGGATAATCTACATTTTGGCTGATAATCCTGATATTGGATTGATGTGTTTCGTAGCAATCGGTATGTCAGAAGTGTCTTCCAACGATATCACTGTTAAAGAGGGAGAAAAAGTCAAGAAAGGAGACCAGCTCGGTATGTTCCACTTTGGTGGTTCCACCCACTGCCTGATTTTCCGACCTGAAGTGAAAATTGAGTTTGATACTCGTGGTCAAACACCAGGTCTGGATACCGACAATATTCCAGTAAGGGCCAAAATTGCGACTGTTCATCGCCAAACTGAGAAGAGCGGTGAATCTGACTAATCTGAAGAACATTGAACTGAGAGTATTCTGAAGAACATTGAACTGTGATTTCATATGCGTGTTGACATTTGAGTTATTTTTACTTATGTTGATCTTTATCCCACTGGTCTTCTGGAAAATTAAAGCGGCCACATTAGACCTTAAAAAGCTGTTAAGGCAATAATTTTTTTTTCGCATCATTTATCCAATTTCTTTGGTAGTTTTAAACATAATCGGGGTTTTGAGTGCACGCAGTGCAGCCAACCGAGTATTTTAATCCTTCAGATTTTGCCTGAAAATTGACTACAATTGTTTCACAGTGAAGGGTTAGAAATGAGACAATTGAGAAATAAACTTAGTTCATAATCTGCAGCATTGACATAAACTCTTAGCTCACTACTTTGTTACAAGCAGGAGGAAAAACTCTAGCCCAACGGACTTTGGGTTTTCCCGGAATTTTTCCGTTTATATTTGAGCAGTCTTTTATGCAGATTTATATTACTTTAGTTATTTGCTTATCTATGTTGTCTAAAACATCCTCTGTGTGAGTTGAAAAGAAGTATGCACGCTTGTAGAAATGCCCCCTAACTATAAAGCCGAAACCGACAATTGCAAAGTATGATCATGCGTGAAGAGCAGGATGAAGAGACTGATATATTAAAGATTTTATGTTAAAACTTACAATATGCCGACTTTCCGGTTCAGTAATTAAAAGTAAGCTTGCGTGTTATGTGGAAATAAAGACTTTTGTCTTTAATAACTTATTGGGCTGTCTGATCCCGTGTACTCGATTTATTTGTGGATGATTTAAAATTTTCGCAAAGAAATCTCCATTCAGTTTTGTGCAGTCATGTGCACTTAAACAGGAAGG